CGTCTCCCTGGAGGTCAGGATTTCATCATACGAGTTTGGAGGGCGGGAGAGGGGTGGCACACAAACATTGGACCATAACAATGATGGAGCATCACGAGGAAGCTTAAAAATGAATTAGGAACTTACCGAAATCGTGGGGAACAGGCAAAAATTGCCTGGTAACTGTTCGGAGTTAACAGTGTGTTAATTGATTCTCACATCCAGTTCTCTAAATTCTAAGAAAAACCCTTGGAACTATTTTTATACCATTTATTCTAGGGAAAATTGACACTTAGAGAAGTGGAGTTATTTGCTTGGTGTTAAATAGCTAATTAGAATTGACTTAATGTAGAAAATGTCTAAAAGGGATAGATTTTATTTGGATAATGTTGAAGTGATCAACTTTGATCAGATTGTCTTTTCTTTAGAGGACTAGATAAGTGTTTGGTGGTTGAAATATAGTCTCAGTGACATATACAAGTGACCAGATTTATTTATAGTCTAGGACTTGAAAATTACTGTTACAGTTGAGTAACTATTCTGTTTTGAGAAGTGGATTTCTGCAGAGAACTGTGTAGTAAGAAGAGTGGTCCCTGAACCGTTCGTTACCTGTGAGGAGAACGAATGGGCCCAGCAGCCACCAGAGGGCACTGTGGACCCAGTCCTAGCATTTGGGCCCAGGAAGCACAGTTTTCTGTTCAGGTGTGCCAGACTAGGAGAAGGTTCAAGAGCCACACGTTTCATGACTTCGGTAGATCTATGCCACATTCCTCTGAAAATTGTTAGGTTGAGGAGGATACTTCCTGCCTTGTGGCAAGTGAATGTTAGCTACAAGTTCAACTCCTTTTGTGTTTTAAATCTCATTTTAGCCTGGCACTTTGGGCTTGGTTATTTCTTCCTTTTGATACATGTGTATTTTGAATATCAATTTGGTTACTGTTTTATTGAGTGGCTGTGGCTTTTTTTGTTGTTGTTAGTAGGAGCTGTGCTACATTATTTTACCTGATACTTAATCACATGTTACAGGAGTTTAAATACTCAAACCCTGACCTCTACCACTCTGTGGCTACAGTCTTGGGCAGCTTACTTTTGAGGACTGTTTGTTTGTTTGTTTTTAATCTGTATCAGGGAGATAATTATTTTACTTCCAGGGGTTGCTTTAATGTTTAACTGTCATGAATATCTGACTCACTGTAAGCATTAAATAAATGTTAGCTATTACTGGATGACTATACCTGTATTTTAAAGGAGAATGTAATTGAATTAGTTATAAACATATTGATCAGTGATAATCAGCTTATTTCAACTTCAAAAAATTTTTTTCATGTTTACTTAAAATTAAATGAAGGCCTTACATGAATGTTTTCCCCAGCATAACTTTTTATTTTACCATAAAGAGATCTTCCTTATTGAGGAGTTGTTTTAGGGTAATGGTGTTTATATTTTAATTTTTGAAAATATATTTAAAATGTCTTAGAGTATAGAATGGTAATTTGTAGTTCTTTTGGGTAAGGCAGATAGTCATTCCTTAAGGTCTTAAATGGAATGACTCATTTTCTTTGAAGCAGATACAAATATATCTTTTGCTGTTTCCCAATATTGGCATGTTCTCCATCCTGACAGACACACCTTTGGTTTAAGAGGAGTGAAGAGGGTTTTGGAGCCGAGCTTTGCATATAGCGTTTGAAAACTGATGTGGTTTTGGAACCTTGGGCGCTTTTAATTAATGTCTGAGCTACTGTATTTTCTTAACTAAAGTATAGCTGATTTACAATATTGTGTAAGTTCCAATTGTACAATGTAGTGATTCACAATTTTTAAAGGTTATACTCTATAGTTATTATAAAATATTGGCTGTATTCCTCGTGCTGAGGTGCCGTTTTATTACAGAAAATGTTAATATTTGTGTTATTTAACCCAAAAGATTTATTGTTACAGTTAAGTGAAAATAAAACCTTTCCTATGGAATATTGTGTATGTTATTGAAAACATTTCATTTCTGTTGCTACGCTGAAGGAGATATGGTGCCCTTTGGACACTAGAACTTGGTATAACTAGGGTGCTTAATGGTCCGAGGATATAAAATAAGGGTTTAGATTGCATACCTTGCCAATTAAATAATGATGTCTCTTAAAAATAACTGTAGTTAAAGTGGACATACTGCTTTTTGCTTTCTATCCTTTCTGCAGATATTTGTGACAGTTGAGTGTGTATTCTGTTCCAAGGTGCTGCTGTAGGCTCTAGATTTTCAACAGGAAGACAGATTGCTCACGACCTATACAGAGTGTTTCATAAAGATGCTGGTATATCCCCATTTAGTGTCTGTGAAAAGTGCTTATGCTGCGTCCCTTGTGTCTGGGGACTGAGAGCCCCTCCCTTCTAACTGGTGCTCCGTCATCTCTGTTACTGGTCGCCTGGAACTCTTCCCGGGTTAGTGCTGCGTCTGAAGTCCAGCATGTTGGCCACCTGTTCCCTGCACCCCTGCTCCTGCTGGTGGACTCCTGGCATGTGTAAGCCTTCTAGAGGGCTTTTCCCCATGAATTGACATAAAAATACACGTACTTTAGTCAAAACATAATTGTGTGTATATGAGTTTGGGGTAATGTATGGCATTGTAGTAATACTCTGTTCTGTAACTTTTTTTCAGTTAACAGTTTATCTTGTAGATCTTTACCTCCCCTCCCCCCATCAAGTTGTTTTTAATTTGTTTTTTTATTTAACAGAGGTGCCGGGGACTGAACCCTGTGCCTCCTGCATGCTGAGCACCCACTCCACCCCTGAGCCCTACTTCCCCCTCGTAGATCTTCTCCTATCAGCAAGTCACTTTAAAGAGAAACCCTAATCCATTCACTTTCTATCTCCCATGACGACCCGTTTCAGCTACCACCATCTTGCTGGTGGATCAGTGGCCTTCTGGTTAGTTTCTTGGCTTCCAGTCTTGCCCGCTTATAATTTCCCACATAGTGGCCAGAGTGATCAATTCAAAACATGAGTGAGAGTATGTATCTCCCTCACACTGCACTTCCCATCTGCCTTGTTCTAGCCACACTGGCCTTTCTTCTGTTACTTGAATTTCCATCCTCACTTCCTTTAGGCCTTTGCAGGCATTGCCCTCATTCCATTTTCCCCACACTTCAGATCTTGGTGTAAATGCCACCTGCTCAAAGAGGTCTTCTCTGACACCAAAGTAGAGCAGTTAGCTCTTCACTTTGTTATTACTGTCTTTTAAAAGTTTAATTTAGCTTTAAAAATAAATGAGGAAATCATGTTCAGAAATTAAGAAAATGCAACAGCATATACAGTGAACAATTTTCCACCCCCGTCACCCATCTGCCAAAGTGATAATTATTTTTATTAGTGTCTTCCTCAGCTTTCCAGAGGTTCTTGTAGCAATGTAAGCAAATGACAGTATGTATCAAGTAAGTGTTCTTAAACAGGTCTTTTTTTTTTTTTTAAACTGGGCTAAGTGGCCTTATTAAGAAAGAGGATTACAAAGGATTTAAGAGTTGGGATTGGGGCCCTCCAACCAGCCTTTAATAACCACCATCGTGTCCTCACCTTCTGTGAGGATGCAGTGTATAAACCACTCCAGATTCATGTCTGTCCATCTGCAAACTCACCTGCAGTTTGTACTCACCCTTCGTTCCCCACTCTAGTAGTTTTGTTCCCTGTTTAGCCTCTGAGGTTAGGTGATGCATGTTCAGGATTACTTACCACCGGTTCCCGTGACCTCATCCTCTCCACCTGCTGAGTAACTTCTTTTCTTTCTTTTCTACCTTTTTACTGTTAACTCCCTGCTGCCTCTTTGGCTTCAGTGCTGCCTAGCATATATGGGAGGTGCGCAGAACATACTAGTCAAGTGGGGTAGAGTCGTGAAGTTTGGACTGTCAAATTATGAAGACCTGGAGTGAATCCTGGCTGTGTGACTTGGTTGATTAGCGTCTCTAAGCCTCAATTTCATAATCATTAAATTGGGACAAATATTATAACTCAGGGTTGTTCTGAAGATGTAACCAAGGAGTGGATATTTTCCTGTGACTGTTGTGACAGATTACCATGAACTTGGTTTAAAACACCAGGAGTTTTTTCTCTCCCAGTTCTAGAGGTCACAAGAAGTCAGGGGCCCTGGGCTCCACCCCAGGGTTGGCAGGGCCAAGCTCGCTCTGGAGGCTCTAGGGGAGAATTCGTCCTGCGTCTTCCAAGGTCTGGTGCTGCCAACAGTCCGACTCTGCCAGGCGCCTCTGTGCTCACGTGTCTGTAACCCTCCCTGTGCTTCTGAGGAGGGCACTTACAAGTGCATGCGGGGCCCACCCGAGTGATCTCATCTTTAGATCCTTAACCATACTCATCTCTGCAAGGACCCTTTTCCCATGTAAGGTCATGCTCACAGGTTCCGGGGAATAGGTTGGATCTCATAGGGGCTATTATTCAGCCTGGTGTGTGGAAGTAAAGGACACAGCAGAGTACCTGGCAGATAGGAATTGGTCCAGGTAGACTTCAGGTTCTCAGAAGGATTTAGTCATAGAGCCACCTGGGAGCCAGGGAATATGAGAACAGTAAGTAGATGGGAAAAACAATCAGAAATTAGAGATTAGACTATGTCATTTTATTTCATGCAGTGGATAAATGGGATAAATGTGTAGAGAAGAGATTTTTATTAGATCTTGGCAGTTTTTTCTTCATGTGTGTGTAGAGTGGTTTATATGTGTTTTCAGTGTTAAAGTTTACAGGATAAACTGGTAGAAGGGAGGTGGTGGAGTGGGAATGTACTGCATGTTATTACTGAAAATTGGATAATTACCTTTCTTTTTATACTGCAAGAAGTTCACATTGAAACCTGTATGAAATGATCAGTGAATAAGAGATCACAGAATAGATATCAAAATTTTGCTGGATGGTAGATAAAGAATCATTCTCATTTGGAGTAAAATAGAAAAAGTACCTTTAAAAAATTCTTCAAATTAGAATAACATAAAAGCCATATACTGACATTTGCAACCTTTCTCCTTTCTCCTTGACAGGTTCTTTGGCATGGACGCAGGTTCAGTGGGAGGATTAGACTTGACTGATCAGACTCCTGTTTTATTAGGCAGCACGGCCATGGCAACCAGTCTCACGAATGCAGGAAACTCATTTAGCGGTCCGCCTAATCCTTTAGTTCCTAGATCCAGTAAATTCCAGAACTCATCCGTGGAAGACGATGATGACGTTGTTTTTATCGAACCTGTACAACCTCCCCCGCCTCCTGCACCTGCCGATCAGAGAACCGTGACATTTACATCATCAAAAAATGAAGAGCTGCAAGGAAATGATTCCAAAGTTCTGCCTTCCTCAAAAGAATTGGCTTCTCAGAAGGGAAGTGTAAGTGAGACAATTGTCATTGATGATGAAGAGGACGTGGAAACAAACCAAGGGCAAGAGAAAAACTCCAATTTTATTGAACGGAGACCTTCTGAGACTAAAAACAGAACCAATGATGTGGATTTCTCCACTTCCAGTTTTTCAAGAAGTAAGGTAAATGCAGGAATGGGTAGTAGTGGTATCACCACAGAACCAGACTCTGAAATTCAGATTGCTAATGTTACCACCTTAGAGACAGGTGTAAGCGCTGTGAATGACGGCCAATTAGACAGTACTGACGGGCGAGACATGAACTTAATGATTACACATGTAACGTCACTGCAGAATGCCAGCTTGGGAGATGTCTCTAACGGACTGCAGTCAAGTAATTTTGGTGTTAATATACAAACATACACCCCATCTTTAACTTCACAGACCAAGACTGCAGTAGGACCTTTTAATCCTGGTAGAGTGAATGTGGCAGGAGACGTATTTCAGAACGGAGAGTCTGCAACTCATCATAACCCTGGTAAGCAGTGAGAGACCTTCTGCTCCATGTAGAGGAGTTTAAGCTGGCTGATTCTTTTTCCTATTGGGGTAATTGGTGCTACGTTGGTTAATTTATTCCCGTAAGATATGTTAATGCTACTGACTTTGAAGGGTGAAATTTTAACTAGTAAGAGATGTAAAACTATGTATATAGTATTTCTCTGTAGATGATTAGAATATTAAAGAAATTAATGTCTAAAGGAATTTTTTAAATGCTCTTTATGTTCACCACATTAAAATCAAACAATTTGGCATCTTTGTCATGTGCTTACCTTACGCTAGTCTATTGATAATAGTATTGTTTAATTTTGACTGCGTATCTGATTTTAATTTTTATTTATTAGCACTTTATTTTTTTTTTATATTTGAAGATTGGTAAATTTCTTGACTGAACATTTTTTCTGCTGGTACGTTTGCTCTTTGAAAACATAATAGGGAAGTTATACGAACTCTGTTGGGGGAGGTTAGAGCTCAGGGGTAGAGCATTTGCTTAGCAGGCACGAGGTCCTGAGTTCTGTCCCCAGTCCCGCTACTAAATAAATAAGTAAGTACACCCCCCTAGCTCTCTGGCTTTCTCCCAGCCATGTGTCTATCCCCCCACCCTCTCCTGTGCCCTCTCTGTCCTTCTCGTCCTTCAGGCCCAACAACTTGGTCAGTCTAGGGCGTGTAGGGGGCAGTAAGGCACGATTGGAACCAGGTGTGTGGAATATTCTGTGAAATGCTAGTCTCTTTCTTTCTTATGATTCTTTTGGTTATGAGAGTAATGTCTAATTGTTAAAGAATGTTTGGAAAATCCATACTCATAAAAGTAGGGAAAAAAATCCCTTGTGGTCTTAGTAACAGTAGATTACCACTGTTAATGCTTCGAGTTGTTGTCTTTCAGCCTTTTTCCTTTGTATTTCTTTTTATTTTATTTTATTTTTTTATTGAAGTGTAGTTGATTTTTGATCCTTTGTATTCTTAACTTGGTTAAAATGTGTTCTTTATAATTTTGCTTCCTTTTCTTCCCCGTTTAATATTACACTGTATTTTTCTCAAACCATTAAAATTATTTATACACAAAAGTTTTCATCACTGCACAGTGGGTATGAATGTACCGTTGCCTTATTTGGCTTTTACATTGTTTCCCATATTTTACTTTTGTCGGTCTATGATAAACATTTTTTTTTCAAATTTATTTCTTTAGAGTATTTTCCGAGAAGTGAAGTTAGTAGGCCGAAGGATATCACTACCCCCGCCTCTCCAAAGATTTTTGGTTTAACATGTTTTGGTTTATAGTAATTTTGAATGAAATATTTCTAATTACTCAGTTTGGAAAATTCCTTCCAGGGCCCCTTCCCCTTGTATGTGTTTATATATATTTGTTGATAGGCCATTATACGTGTATGTGTGAATTTGTATGAGCATTTTTAAGTTGTGGAAATATGTTGTTATACTGCCTTTCAGGAAGTTCTTACCAATTGATATTACTCTCAGCTGTGTATTCAAGTGTCTTTCATTGTAACCTGCTGGCTCACATAAAAGACATGAAAATACCCAAATTAGTTTTCAAAATAGCTGTTTTGTCTTTCTTGCAATTATAAACGTGTTAAAAACATAAGAGAATTAAAAAAAATAGCATTCAATCTTACTGTTGAGAATGGTGCATTTAATCCTCACCTGAGGTCATAATAAAGGTATAGTTTTGCAAACTCACCCCTCTTCCTGCTCCTTTAAATATCTAACAGTAGATCTTGAACTTTTAACCATATCAAGAGTATATGTTTGATTTTGTTAATTCTCTACTTAGTTGATGTCCAGTTTTACTTAAATGACTCCTAAGAATATTCTTAAGCATGTGTCTCGGGGTATTTAATTCTGGAGGAATTGCTGGGTCAAAGCACATTCATTACAAGAGTTGTGTTTCTGTTCATGTGAAGTCTTACCCAGGGAAACTAGACAAGAGACACGTGTTGCTCTTAAATTTATGGATTAGCTCTTGTGTTTGTGTGCTGTTTCTATCTCTAGTTGGGAATTATAAAATCTTGTCTATTTATACTGGCTCTCGGACTAGTTGTGACTTGGGTAAGTTAACCTACTCTCCCCTAATGTCCCTTGTATAAAATAGAGTGTGTGGACAGAATAATCAGGTCCCTTCCATTCCCAGAAGTATTTTGGTGTTGGAGGAGGAGGTGAAAATTTGAAGGTAGGGGAAATATAAGAGCTGAAGTATTGATGAAAGGAGCCGTTGTATTATTTATACATTACTCTGTATTGTATGTAATACATTGTATTATTTATATGATTTATACAGGACCTAAAAATGAATTAAAAAAGAAGCCGTAGTTTTTCCTAATAGATGCCCTTAGGTTTAATTAGGTTCCTTTAATATATAGTCAAATGAGAAGCGCTACAAAATGGCAAATCCTAATGAGCCAGTATTTGTGTTGTGAAAGCTCTTCATCTTAACGTGTGCAAATACAATTTTTGGTCAAAGGTCCTTTATAAGATGGACTTGCCAGTTGTTTCAGTGATTTGCTTTCATCCTGTCCATGAGTAGTTTTACCTCTTATAAACTAGCTGGTTACCTAGATGACCGCAGGATGACAGGGTTCCAGAATGCACTGTTTATTCTGTGTGTAAAGTTTGTGGAATAAGGTAAAACTTGAATTGCACTGTCTGTAGCCCTTGAAGCCATTAGGTTGATGGACTGGGTCAGAACTAGGAAATTGCCCTCTTCAAGGTTTTGGTAGTTAAAGACGCTTCCTCACACTCTGGATGTATTTCTGCTTCCTGTGGAAGGAATAAACAATTATTTTTCACATGGGAGGATTGCTTTTTTTGTTTGCAAGTTCAAAATTTAAAAAAACTAGAAAGGAAAAGAATTACAAGAGATCCAAGTAGTGGAAATTAGCAGTGGTGGCCTGGAAAGTTTCAAAATGAAAAAATGTGGTGTTGGTAGTGTAGGGAGGGGTGTGTGGCACAGTAACCAGCACAGTGAGCTGGAGACCTCACGCCAGCCCTGAAAGAGGCCACTGCGAACCAGAACCGAGGGGGACTGCGCCCTGGGTGTGGCCCTGGGTCTGAGTGTCTGCTGAGGCCGCTGGCAGTGTTAGAGGAAGGGGGTGGCCTTGGTCACTCTGTGCTGGCTTAACACCATCATTTCTGTGTTGCACTCTCATTTCTTTGATGTAATGTTGCATATTTAGAGGTTATGGGATTAAACATGTATATGGAAGAGCTGTTTTGAATATAATCGTTTGTCAGCTTTATCAGATCTGTATTATGTTTGTCCAAAGTTCTGGTTGGTCAAGACTTTGTTACACTTTTATGTTGATTATGTGCTCCCTGTTTAAAGTAATATTCTGTAAGTTCTTCCTGTTTAATAACTAATGGCTAATGTGTTTTAATGCCTCCCATGTGCCAGTCACTGTGGTTTGTTACATGTAGCATCTCATTTAATGTTGCCATTTCTGCCTAGAGGAGTTAGGCAGGGTGTAAGTTCAGAGCCGGAACAGCAACTGGCCATTGTAGCTCCGCAGTTTGGGACTTCACCTTTCCGTTGCACTGCACAGAGTGGGAAATGAAACCTGTTCTCTGATGTCAGTGTCAGCATCTACAAGTACCTGTTTCATGACCCTGTCTTGTGTTCTCTTTTTAAGATTCTTGGATCTCCCAGTCAGCATCATTTCCCCGTAATCAGAAACAGCCGGGGGTGGATTCTTTATCACCAGTGGCCTCGCTTCCTAAACAGATTTTCCAGCCTTCTGCCCAACAGCAACCCACTAAACCAGTTAAAGTCACTTGTGCAAACTGCAAAAAGCCTTTACAGAAGGGACAGACAGCTTATCAGCGCAAAGGATCAGCTCACCTCTTCTGTTCCACCACCTGCCTCTCTTCCTTCTCTCACAAGCCTGCTCCAAAGAAACTTTGTGTTATGTGTAAAAAGTAAGGATTACCTTTCAACAAATTTCCCATATAGGTGAATATTGGTAGTATAAAGTTTGAGAAAATTTGTCTTAGAGGTGAATTACTATGTTTTAAAAATTGGTAAGCTAGTTCTTTGAATCTGAAAGCCAAACTCAAATTTGTAATGGTTTTGGAGGGTTCTCTGTCAAGCCCAGGTAGCTTAGGGTGGAAAGCCTTACTGTTTGGATAGGCTTTGGGGTTGACTTAGATACCAGGCCCTTGTAATTAATTTTATCTGTAATCTGCATTAGACTACTTGAATTTATTAATTATAGGAATTTAGTTCTAGCTAGAAAAAATTGTTCAGCAATTTATATATGACTAGTTCTGTATTAAAATAAGATAATAAGATAAATAATAATTAGGTCAAATTTTGTACTATCTTCATAGTAAAGACTACTAAAAATCAGCAAATCTTTGGATTTTTCTCTGTATTTTTTTGTTTTGAACAGTAAGTCATTTGAATACTCACTGTTTCAAGACTCAGAAGATACCAGTTTTTTTTTTTTTGACAGCCTTGGAGAGACAGGGTCCTCTCTTCTGCCATTTTTTAGGTCTGACTTCACTAGTTAAAAATAAGTTGAATATGATGTGTTATGTGCAGATCAGACAGGTGGGTTTCTGTGCCATCTCCGAGGAGCCCAAGTTTTTGTCAGTATTTTTAGATCTTAGAACTTTGGAAAAGGCTGAGTGCTCTGATGGATTTATAATTCAAATATCGGAACACTTATTATACAGGGTTTTAATTGCTTTACAGTAGTGGACTTGCATACTGCAGTGTAAAACCTGGAAATTCAGTATTAAAGGAAAACTTCACAGGTCATCAGAGCTGTTGTTTATGAACATTTCTGCTTGCAGCTGAGAGCTGTATAGAAAGGGAGGTGGGGTTATTTGGGATTTGGGGATGTATTTAAGTTTGCTTACCCTCTTTAGAAGAATGCCATTTTCCTGTGATCTAGATACTTCATGCTTTTACTTACCCATGGGAGGGAAATTGAATAGGTATTACAAACGTGTATCTCAGTAAATTAGGCCTTGACGTTAAACTCCACAAATGATAACAGCCTTTTAAAAAAGTGTTTCTAGTATCTGAAAGCTTTGTTAAGGAGTTTGAAGATAACTGAGGAGTGGCAGGGATTTGCTAGTATTGCTTCTCAGTCTTTGTTCATATTTTATTGCCAAGAGTTTTTAAATAGCAAAAATGACTTAATGAATCTGAAAATGGTGGTTGAGTCCCAGGACTCAATCTGTGGAAATTAAAAATGACAGCTATTACTCTTGTATTCGATTTCTTTTAAAGTAGAGCTTTGCTTTAAGTTGTTCCTTGTATTTTTCAGAGATATAACTACGATGAAAGGAACCATTGTTGCTCAAGTGGATTCAAGTGAGTCCTTCCAGGAATTCTGTAGCACGTCTTGTTTGTCTCTCTATGAAGACAAGCAGAACCCCACTAAAGGAGCTCTGAATAAATCAAGGTGTACAATTTGCGGTAAACTAACAGAGGTTTGTGTTCTTGTGTTCTGTCGCTTAGTTCTAACTAATGGGAATGTTTTTAACTTTACCAGTTCTGACAGTTTCTCTGGTGTGTTTCCCATCGCGAGGGCATGTCTGTCTTATGAATATCCCATTCTGCAATCCCATTCTCCCATAGGGAGAATGATTCACAAAAAAATTGGAATATAGTATCAATTGACATTTTCTCTGAGGTTGGGAACACTCACAGACAAAACCATAGTGTTTAAATAGGCTGACTACTCGAGAAAGACAGCAGGCTTGCTTAAGAAGTAGAACACGTGGAGGGGGTATTTTTGGTAACTTGACAGCATTAATATGATACAGGTTCTGCATTTAATTAAAAGAAACCTGTATATGTACCTCATTTGAATTATTTGCAATACTGGCTCTCTCCTCCCCGTTCTAGAGCAGTGTGCTTTATGTTTCCTTTTGGATTTGCCTCAAGCTGTCCCGTCCGTTTGAGAAATTTTATACTAATACTGCTCAAACTGGGTTGTTTCCTATCGTTTTTAGATCCCTCTAGAGAATTTTGTGTGATGACCCTGGTGGTTGCCCCCCAACTCTCACCATACGTAATTTCTTGTGTGTATAAAAAAAGTTCGAAGAATAATGAAATGTACTTTGTCTTTCATTTTCCCCAAATAAGCCTTCCACAGAAAAACAAGCATTTTCTTTCTGTTGGAGCACCTTGTTACTTAGCTACATGTCATGTATTAATTTGTTTAAAAATTTTTTTAAATTGAAGTATACCTGGTGTATAATGTGTTAATTTCTGTACAGCATAGTGATTCAGTTATACATATGTATGTTTTCAAAATTTTACTTGTTTTTCTTTTAGATACGCCATGAAGTTAGCTTTAAAAATATGACTCATAAGCTGTGCAGTGACCACTGCTTTAATAGATACAGGATGGCCAATGGTCTGATAATGAATTGCTGTGAGCAGTGTGGGGAGTACTTGCCCAGCAAAGGTGCTGGGAACAACGTCTTGGTCATTGATGGTCAGCAGAAGAGATTTTGCTGTCAAAGTTGTGTCAGTGAATACAAGCAGGTACTTCATGATCTAATCAAACCAACCACTCCTTTGAATGTGTTTTTAAGTTGCTGTAATAGTTTTACTCCAACAGCATTTATTAACCAGCTTTATCTTTGGATCTCATTCAGTTCCATTATTGTCTTCACATCTTAGAGATGACCTATCGCAAATGCATACTGAAATATATGTAGCTTATTGGAAATCAGCTTGTGATTTTACATAGAAGAGCAAATGCTTACCAGAATGATTGCTTTTTTGAATCTTTTTTTGGGTGCTGCAGAGGGGTCATAAATACGATTTTTTAGATAGCACTTAGCTTAGGAATGATTCTTATTTCATTTTAAGGTTAATTTGCAATTTAAGGTTTTCTGATTTAGTTTATTTCTGAATTTATGTGTATGGTTTCAGAGTCAGAGAAATCTGGCTCCCGTTTCTTCTCTTGGTTCTTGCTCATCCTTTATATGTACCAATTTTTAATTCTTACTGTTTTGTTTTCTGTTCTTTCTGAAAAATGAAGGAAATAATTCATTCTTAGTTTTTTTTTTTTCTATGCAGAAGGCAGACTGTTTGAACTGTTCCTTCATCACCTCACAGTGTGTCTTGGAATCATTCTCTTATTCTTTTTATGGCTGCATGAATTAAATGTTCAGGAATTTTGTGAGCTGGTTATTAAAAACACCCACTGTTAAACATGAAATTATTGAGACTTCTAGGTAAATTACGTTTGTACTAGTCTGCTAGGGCTGCTACAGCAAAATACCTGAGGGGCTCAGACAGCAAGAATTTATTGTCTCAGTTCTGGAACCTGGAACTACAAGATCAAGATGCCTTTCTGGGTTGGTTTCTGGTGAGGCTGCTCTTCCAGGCTTATAGGCAGCTGCCTTTGTGCTGTGTCCTCACAGTCTTTCCTCTGTCCTCAAAAGGGGGTCGGGGTGGAGGAGTGTGTGCATGTGTTTTCTGGTATCTCTTCCTCTTCTTAAAAGAATGTCATTCCTATCTGGTTAGGACCTAACCTGTAGGACTTCATTTAACCTTAACTGCATTCCTAAAGGCCCTGTTCCAAATATAGTCTGGGGGTTAGGGCTTCCACATATGAATTTTTTAGGGGAGAGGAGGGTGATGCAACAATATTGAAAACAAAGGAAAAATACTCAGAGTGCTAAATGGTAAGTTTTATCACTTCCGAATTATTTTATTACATTTTAGTATTATCTGTGCTCTTAAGGTTACTTATATTACTGTATTTGTGTGGTGGAAATAGTACATATAGTGGTGTGGCCCTGTGCCTCTGTTCCCAGTTTCATGTTCAGGTCTATGTCTGTTCTTGTGCCAATACCATGCTGTTTTGATTAGTGTAGCTCTGTAGTATTATCTGAAGTTTAGGAGGGTTATGCCTCCAGCTTTGCTCTTTTTCTTCAGTATTGCTTTGGCAATTCTGGGTCTTTTGTGATTCCATGTACATTTTAGGATTCTTTATTCTATTTCTGTGGAAAATGTCATGGGTAATTTGACAGATTGCATTAAATCTGTAAATTGCCTTGGGCAGTATAGCCATTTTAACGATACTGATTCTTCCAATCCAAGAGCATGGGATGTCTTTCCATTTCTTTAAGTTAATTTCCTTAATCAGTGTTTTGTATATAGTTCTCTGTGTACGAGTCTTTCACCTCTTTGGTCAGATTTACTTCTGATTTTTTTTTGTTTGTTTTGGATACAATTTTAAAAGACATTGTTTCTTTACTTTCCTTTTCTAATATTTCATTGTTAGTGTAAAGAAATGCCACTGATTTCTGTACGTTAATCTTGTATCCTGCTGCCTTGCTGAATTCTTTTATCAGCTCTCGTAGTTTTTGTGTGGAGCTTTTAGGGTTTTCTGTATATAGTATCATGTCATCCGCATATGACGACAGTTTTACCTCTTCTCTTCCAATTTGGATCCCTTTAATTTCTTTCTCTTGTCTGATTACTGTGGCTAGGACTTCCAATATTATTTTGAATAGAAGTGGTGAGTTTGGGCATCCTTGTCTTGTTCCAGATTTTAGTGAGAATGCTTTCAGCTTTTCACTGTTGAGTATTATGCTGGCTGTGGGTTTGTCATAAATAGCTTTTATTATATTGAGATGTGTTCCCTCTGTACCCACTTTGGTGAGTTTTTATCATAAATGGGTGCTGAATTTTATCAAATGCTTTTTCTGCATCTGTTGAGATGATGTGATTTTTATCCTTTCTCTTGATGTGGTTGGTGTATTATGTTGACAGATTTGCGTATATTGAACCATCTTTGTGTTACTGGGATGAATCCAACTTGATCATGGTGTATGATCTTTTTTATGTGTTGTTGGATTCTGTTTGCTAATATTTGTTGAGGATTTTTGCATCTTTGTTCATCAGTGATACTGGCCTATAGCTTTCTTTTTTGGTGGTGTTTTTCTCTTGTTTTGGTATCAGGGTGATGGTGGCTTCATAGAATGAGTTTGGGAGTACTCCCTCCTCTTCAGTCTTTCAGAAGAGTTTGAGAAGGATCAGTATGGGCTCTTTGTATGTTTGGTAGAATTCCCCAGTGAAGCCATCTGGTCCTGGACTTTTGTTTGCAGGGACATTTTTTATTGCTGATACTCTTATTTCATTTCTGGTGATCAGTCTGTTCAAGTGGTCTGTTTCTTGTTGGTTCAGTCTTGGTGGACTGTGTGTTTCCAGAAACTTGTCCATTTCATCTAGGTTGTCCAGTTTGTTTCCATATAGTTGTTCATCGTATTTTCTCTATTTCTTTATTTTTATGTGATGTCTATTTTCTGCTCCAGTGTCCCATCCAGGATACTATGTCATATTCAGCAGTCACGTCACCTTAGGCTTCTCTTGGCTGTGGCGTTTTCCAGACTTTTCTTATTTTTGATGAGCTTAACAGTTTTTAGGAGCCAGGTGTATTGTGAGAGGCTCCTCTGCTTTCAGCACTGGACAGTCTGGGCTCTGGGTTTATGAGGGAGATCACAGGTGTTGGCCTTTTGCATTTTTATTGTTTTTATCACATGACAAGGGTGCCTCTCACAACAGGACTTGAAATTGTTGGAGTTTACACTGATCACCTTGCTGAAGTGGTGATAGTCAGGACTCCCTTCTGGAAAGTTAACTCCTATCCCCTCCTCAACCCATTTCCAGGTTTACTCTTTGGAAAGAAGGAAGTCACTCTCCTTTAGGGTGCAGTATGTAGACAGTTGGAATTATTCCAACTGCACGAGAAATCTGGACAAGAAATTTGCCCCTGTCTGACATTTTTTGGGGGGGAGCAAGGTAGAGGTGACTAGGTCTACTTAATAACTTATTTTTTAGAGACGGTATCAGGGATTGAACCCAGGACTTCGTGCATGCTAAGCATGTGCTCTACCACTTGAGCTATACCCTCCCCCTGACATTTCTTAACTGATTCAGTCGTTTATTAATGCCTGTATGGACTCGTGGGTATTTATTTTGTATTTTGGGTTATAATTCCACACGGTTTGTTTTGTTGCTCAAGTTTTTCCAGGTTTGTCAGTTGGAAGCACTTTCACTTGGTTCCTGTGTTCTTTTGAAATCGTCTTTTTTTTTTTTAATTTTTGTTACTAGTTGTTTTCAGTCCTAGGATTTTTGTTTGGATCTTCTGTTTCTTTGATGAGAATTTCTGTTTTTTCATTGTTGTGTTTTTATTCCTGGTGGAAGCATTTTTGTCATGGCTGCTTTACAAGTCTTCGCCAGATAATTCTAGTGTCTTTGCATCTGAGTTGTCTTCCTGGGTTTTGGTGAGACAGGCGATGTTTCCTTTTCAGGGAAGCCTGGACCCTTGGGGCGTTCTGCCTGGGTCTGACTTACCCTGCTGAAGCTGGCTTTCCTTGACCCAGCTCTGTGCGTAGCCTCTCTTGACACCGGGGGGTCGGGTTGGGGGGTAAGCGTGGGAGTCTGGCTGCCCCAGGCCTGGGCTGGTCCTGCCCGGAGGAGCAGGAGCACCTTCTGGCCCCCGCACAGCCTCCACTGATGCCAGAGTGATTTTACAGGCCGGTTGCAAGATAGTGCTTTTCATGATTCTTTTTAAAAAACTGTCTCAGTTTTATAACTTCACAATTCTCATAATGTATGTTCATAATTTTAAGTAACTATGTGGGAATCTGTGCATGCACTGTTACCGATGAAGGGACAGAGTCGGACACGTTGGACACCCTGCACACATGCTCTAGTGAGTGTCATTTTTTCCCCGGAACAGCAGTTCCTACAGTGACCTTTTCTTGTCCCCGCCCTCCCCTGCCCTTTGACCTTTTGTCTCTAGCATTTCACCTTGGCTGTCATCTTTGTCCCCACAGCCCAGGCAGTTTCTGGCATGTGCTGATACAGGTAGTTAGTAACCTGGACCCTGGCAGTGGAGACTATCCAGTGCTCACCACGGGTCTTTCAGTAGTTCCCGTTTTCTTGCCTAGTATTTTGACTTTCATGGAAAGGACGATGCTTTCTGCAAGGAGTAAAGACAGAAGTTTGTTAAATATGCTTTAAAAAGAGGTTCCAACACAACCCATTTGCATATGAAGAAAACTGCAAAATCTCTAAATTAATTTAGAATGCTGTGAGATTTCTTTCTAAGTATTATTAGCAGGCTTTAATGGGATCTTAGAATACACTGTCACGTAAGAGAAATAAGTGATTTCTTTCAAGGTCTGCTTAGAGGTGAGTCCCATGTAAGGGTCTATATTTTAATTCCTTATCTAGTTATTACATTGTTTGTCACCAAATGTTTTTTTTTTTTGATAGGATAATCAAAGTTATGTAATAATTGGCACTGGGGATCAAATAGGCATTTTTGAAAGCTGGAATGAGTTTGCCTGTCACAGAACAAGTAATTAACAATCGACTGTAACAGATTGCTTGTTGACCTTTCAATCCAGCAGCCTTTCTTTATATCTTTTTATGAAGTCTTTAAAAATCTTTCTTTAGGTAGGTAGCCACCCAAGCTTCCTGAAGGAGGTTCGAGATCACATGCAGGACACTGTGCTGATGCAGCCCGAGGTAAGCAGGAGCCCAGCTGGGGCTGCGGCCTGCCGGCTTCACTCACCCCTACTTACGGCCTCCATTGTCTCTGAGAAATCGTGTGCATTCTGAAGGGTGTTAACATTCATGAACTTAAAATATGTCACATGGTGATCGTTTTCTTACTTTATCTCTTAGGATGGACAGACTTTCTTATTTCACCCAATTTTACATGTGTTTTCTTGTGATGTGGCCGTTGGCCATTTGCTTTTAGGATTGTTTCCAAAACTTATTTTAAGATAACAGATTTTTAATGCATAGTACCTTGACCACAGTGGGCATTTAATTACAGGATATAAAAGTCCCTCTCTTGTGCCTACCTGAGAAATTTTTTAAAAAACCCTTTTTCAAAAAGTTTCCGTGTCTATATTCCCAGTAAGCCACATGAATAAATTAGTACATGGATAAGAAATATATACAATTAAGAATAATTGTAACTATAGTACAGTGTTCAGAAGAAGGAATTTTATGTTAATATAATACTCTTCATATTATTATGTATTATTTGATAAATCTATAGATGTTATTCAAGTCTTATCCATTAATGTCCCTTATAACAACTTGGAAAAAAATTATCCCGTGTCTAGCATCCAATCCAGGATTACAAGCCAGTATTTAAAAAAATTTTTTTGTTCCACCACCTTCTTCTGAGACCCTAGTTCCTGATACATTAGACTTCCTGCTCCTGTCCCTTGATCATGGTGGCCCTGTTTTTATTGAGGTTTTTAAAGTCTTCTTTTCCTTCTTGCTTCATTTTGGGGTGTTTCTGTCTTTAGTTTTATTGATCTTTTCTAATTCACTGTTAATTTTCATCTCAGACTTCATATTTGTCACCTCGAGAAGTAGTTCCATCTGCGTCTGTTTTACGTCTTCTACTCCTGACCTCCTTATGTTCATATTTTCCTCTAGAGATTTCTTGGATATATCAGCATATTTATCATAGTAGCTCTTTTAGCATCGTTACCTACTATTTCCCTCTCTGTCCTTTTTATATCTGTCTGCAGCTGAATTTTTAAATTTCTATAAGATGTTGTACAGTCAGCCTTCCATAACCACTGGTTCCCCATCCACAGATTCAGCCATACAGGAATCTAAAATATTTGGGGTAAAAATTTTCAGAAAGTTCCAAAAAGCACAACTTGAATTTGCTGCACACTTCCAGCTGTTCACATTGCATCCACACTGTACTAGGATTGTAAGTGAGCACGGGCGAGCATATCTTAGAGATAGATGTGCAGAGGCTACTTCAAGCACTACACATTTTACATGAGGGACTGTTCTGTGGGTTTTGGTGTCCAGAGTGGGGGTGGGGTCATGGAGCCAATTCCTTGCAGATTGGTTATGTGTTGTGCTGTGTTTAAAAGCTATTGTTTCATATGTGAGTTTTCCAGGTGTTAAAAGGTGGAGGTTAAATCTAGTTTCTGTTACTCTGTCCCGGCTGGGGGCAGCAGTCCTGTCTGTTGTAATCTACTCTGTCTCTGTCTTTCACGACCTTGACATTTTTGAGTACCGCGGGGCCTTTGGTAGAGTGCCCCTTGATTTAAGCTTGTCTGCTGTGTCTCAGGATCACACTGATTGAGGTATGTTCGGGGGATGACTCCCTGTAAGTGAAACGGCACCGCCTTAGTGCCTCCCTAAGGTGCGTGACTTGCGTGTCCCGTTACTGTACGCTAGCTTGGCTCACTTGGTTAAGAGGGTGTCTGGTTCATTTCTCCAGGTATAATTACTGTTTTTCCCTCTGTATTTAAGTTTTTTGGGAAGGGATATGTAAGTACCATGTTGCTCAGTACAATTTTCACTCACTATTTTTAGCACCTGTAGTCAATCAGAAAAGTTTTAAAAATTACAGAAGTAGTTTATGTGGAAGGGGGAGAAAAAATTGTGAACTAAAACAGTGAAGAAAAGTAAACCATGATGGTATGTAAATTTTTTGGATCTTTATTTGTCTGCACAAACATCTTGTGACAAAGAGAATTTCAGGGCCTTATTGAACAAATGAAGTATAAGTTTTATTTGAATGTATCTCTTAGTCTTCACTTAGTGTATACTCTAGTATAACACCATGTCGGTGTTTCACCACTACTTCCTTCTGGGGGGTTCTTCACTGTTTTTGTCCTTTGAATCCCCTTAGTAACATGGATCCTAGACTGATTCTCAGAATGTTGTTAAATGTGTAAAGTAAAATATCTATGATTATGCCTAGAACCAATTACTCAAAATACAGTTACAAAAATATTTTTTAAAAATTAAAAATTAATATATATGTACTTTATTAATGTGTTAAGTAATAAGAGAGTGGTTAATAACTATAATGTTTTTTTCTAGTAATCTTGGACATAAATAATATATTGAGCTATCTGCTAGTATAATACAAAGCTGGGGATTTTAACTTTGACAGAGTCACAGGTTCTGCTAAAACTACTGTGTTTTGTTGCCTCTCATCGGAACAGAAGAGAATGCTCCATTTCAGGGCGATGCTGTTGAGTATGAAGGCCATGCCCATGCCGTGCTGTGGGCCGGGTTGAGTTCGGCTGTGCTGGCTGTGGCGGGAGCTGGTTCTATGCAGCCACGCTTGGGCTCACTTCCTAGATTAGATTTGCAGCAGCAAGTAAATTGGGCCTTTGTCTCCTGAGCACCTACTCGTGCTGTCCACGTGCTTGGTTACTAATGTACTAAATAATATGTTTTATTACATATAAGAGGGAAAATCAGGGAGCAGTTTTAAAATCATGTGATGGTTAATTCTGATGTTGAATTGGTTAGCGTTAAAATTTAAGGCATCTTTTATAAATGAGTAGACTGAAAATTAGCCAGTTTGCCATAAACTCCCCATTATTTTTACCCTTTACCTCACCAGTATCATTTCAATCAGTTCTGCCTCATACTTTTTTTGTTTTTACTGAATTTATAAATCATTTTATTTTCCCCATGCCTGAATGAGGAATATAATAATTGTGAATTTGTTCCACTTACTTTCATTCTTTAAATTACTCAATTCATATTTATAAGGATGTGTGAAATTTAGACAAAATTACTTACATAAGATTGAGAAAACATAGCATGACAGTACATTTCTTTTCTTTCTTTACTTCTTTCTTTTTTTTTTTCTTTTGGCTAATGTTCTTCCATTAAATGGATCCTTTTGTTTTTGAAGTAATGGTAGTTGTGAAAGTGACGGCGTTGAAGTATTTTCAGTATTAATGATTCTGTCTTTCCAGTAGTACTTTCTCATTCTCTTCAGGTAAAACTTTGTCAGTGTGGACCAGTTGCTTAGCTTCTTTGTTTATTTGACGCAGTTCAACTGGTCTACTTTTTATTGGTATATCTTAAAACTTACTAATTACTTAACCATTTTGGCAATAAAATCATTGTCAACTTGAAGGATGTATCTAATAAGTTTAAAAAAAAATTAGTCGAAGGTTAGAATGGTTGGTTGAACTTCATTTATACTGGTAAAGTAATTCTTCGTAAGTGAGGCTACGTGGAGGTCTCACACATCCACCTGCTGAGAGCTGCTGTGTTTTGTTCTCTCTAATCTGTGTTACAGTGGCAGGTGCCTTGGTATTTTAGTTACTAATTTGTACTGTACTGCTAGATTTTAAACATTCTTTTATTTTCCACTGTTGATGTGTTTTCTTTGATCCTTGTTCTGATATAAAATTTAAATTGTTATATCAGGCCCCAGGAAAACATTCTGAACAAAAACCAGCACACTCCTCTATTGTCTTTGCAACATTGGGAGAGTCATAACTAGACTTAAATAGGCTTGCAATTCTTCTTTCCTTGTGAGCATTCTTTTGCTGTTGATAAGTTTTTATTTTTATTTTTCTGAGCCTATCAGAGATTGAAGAACTTTCCTCAAGTTAAAGGAAACGTAAGGCTTTCTTTAGGTGATATTTTGTGAGCAGGAGACAGGCTGCACAGGCTGTTTCCCTGGTACCACAGTGACTGACGCGCACTCCTGGCATGTAAATAGCTCTTTTCCCGCACCCTTTCTGTTTATTGTATGCTGAGAAAGATTTTTCTTTTTTTGATGTTGATGCTAGTTTTTGGCTAATGTTTTTATCTTCCATTTATTACTTTTATTTTTTCAAATCCCATGGCCTTTATGAAATTTATCCATACAGTTTACCATTTTTTTGTTACTTTGGCTTGATTGTCATCTTCCCTGACATCTGTTACTTATCCTTCCATGGGACATTTTGATTCCTTCCTGAATCATCACACTGTGCTAGGTGGTGTTGGGTGTGCAGGTGAGTAAAATAACCTAAACATTGTGTGGAAGGATGGATACAGCAGCCCCTCCGTATCTTTGGGGATTGGTTCTGGGACCCCCGAGGACACCAAAGTCCATGGATGCGCGAGTCCCTTCTGTAAAGTGACCTCACGTGTGAATACAGAGGACTCATTGGACGGTTGACTTTGCAGCATGATATGTGGTGTTTGATTTAACTGATGGTGATAGTTCTGGACCCACTCAGAAAAGAAACCAAATACAAGTTGCACTTAAAGGCTTGCCTTGCCTTCTGTTTGATTTCTGATTGTGACTGTCAAGTTAACTTCTAAATACAAACACATCAGTTCACTTGAGTTTCAGTTTTGTGAGACCATGTTTTAGTGGTGCTGCATTTGTGCAGTGATTTCCTGTGGCCTTTCCCTCAGGTGTCTTACCTCATTCTTTGAGTTACACCGAGGTCGGCAGTGTTCACCTTTGGCACAGTTGACCTTAGCTATTGACTAAGTATTAACTTTAATAGCCAGATATCATTCTGAGTTAGGTTTTTTTTAATTAATAAAAATTTAAAGGTTTTTATATTTTATTTTGGTTGAGTGAGGTTTCAAATGTAGTAGAAAGGTGGTAAATCAGTTTTAAGTATCAAAGTGCTTGGAACAATAGCAGCTCAGTGGAAAAAATATTTAACATCTTCAAATTATTCCTCTGAAGGACTGTAGTCATTTGATTAAGACAACATTTTTTTAGGTTCATTTAATTTCTTCTGTCAGATGATGAAGTCTGCCATCGTTGTGAAACAAAAACACTGTGCCTTTCTTAGGTTTTCAGTTTCTATTTACATGTAGGCATTCTGTGTAAATAATTAATAGAGAAAGCCACTATTTTTGAAGGAGACTTAGCTTAGATCATACTTCTGTTTGGCCCTAATATAGTTGCACTGCAGTTAACAGTGTGAATCTAGATGAAGACTTCAGACTCACCGAACCTGGTTACAGATAAACAATTGTTTTATAGAGAGAAAAGGTGTAATGAGAAATACAGAAATTTCTTTCTAGTTAAATTGTTTTCTCAATTTTCTTTTTATGTTTCAAATTTTAGAAATATGGAAAACTGACCACCTGTACTGGTTGTCGAACACAGTGCAGGTTTTTTGACATGACCCAGTGCATAGGTCCTAATGGATACATGGAGCCATATTGTTCAACTGCTTGCATGAACAGTCACAAGACAAAATATGCAAAATCACAAAGTAAGTTTCAGGTGTTTGGAAAAATCAGGAAACTTTAATAATAGTAATTTCTTAACTACTCTTCTGTGACTTTATTTTTATACTTGTTTTTAACTGCATGAACTATATATTTTTATTACCACACTAAACTTTCTTACTGCAAACTTTTTTAATGGTTTTAAGCATTTCTTTTAACTTTTAAATTATTGGTAAGGTTCTGACCACGTCTTTGTTCTTCACTAAAATTGATTTTTATTTCCAAACATTGTCTAAAACAGATTGTTTCATGTATCTGTGTATGTTTTAGAGACATAGGATCAGACTTTTTATGACAGTATTTTTTAAGGTGAAAATAATCTCAGATTAATAAAATAAAAGTTTATGGAAGGTTTCACAAAAAATTATTCTCAGAGGTCAATTAAGATTTTTTAAAAACTTTGTTTTATAAAAAATCAGATATGTACTTTTTCTCTCCTAGGTTTGGGAATTATTTGCCATTTTTGTAAGCGAAACTCTTTACCTCAGTATCAAGCCACAATGCCTGATGGAAAACTGTATAACTTTTGCAATTCCAGTTGTGTGGCTAAATTTCAGGTTTGTTACTTGTTTTGCCTAAGTCCTGCTTCCAATAAAATACGTATGGAAAATAATTAATATTCTTTGTTTAATGTGCTAATTTCTACATATTTTGTTGAGGGTCAGATTGGAGGGTGGAGAATTCAGAGTCACAATAGACAAAAGCTTCACCAGGCCTCTGCTTAGCAAGGACCCTCGAATTGACTTCTAAACTGTGACTTATGACACAGACTTCAAAGGAAAGTAGATTTTATTGTCGGCCTTTAAACAAGAGTCAGGGTCTAAGAGGAGGGGGAGAGAGAGGGGCAGGAGGAGGACCAGGATCACCTGGAGCGTCTCGGGGGGCAAAGCCAGGAGGAAAGGCTGGAGTGGGGGGGGCTGCTTTGAACTAAGCTCACTGGAGGAGGGTGGGCCTGGAGTGGTGGCTTCTCATTGGCTAGTGGCCGAGCTGCAGAGATTTCTCATTGGTTGGGTTGTTGCCAGGTAAGGGGAAAATCTTCCCTCTCCGGCTGGGTGTGTTCCATGAACTGCCCAGGGCTCTATTTTGAAGGAAGTTTTTCTTCACTCATTTTCTCCTCTGGGTGCCTTGTGTGCTTAGTAGATGGTGTGAGTGACATGTGACATGTGACTTAGGGGGAGTTCCGTTTTATGCGGATGAAGGGCGGAGGTGTATTTAGCCAGGGAGTGATCAGCTACACTTTGTCTTATCACCTTGCAAATACGCCCCGTGGATGAGGTTGGACTCGTTCGGTTGCCCTGGTTTTAACAGAGACCAGACTAACTTCAGGGAGACATTTTTGCTTTGGTCCATGTAGAGAAGAACTCTGACATAGTTCTTCAGAATTGGAGTTTGGATAGTCTCAGAGGACAGTTAGGGTTAGGGTTAGGAAGTGTGCAAATGGAGCTGGTTGACCACTAGGAAGGAGTGGTTCAGAGGGGATTCAGTGTGAGGCAAGTGGTATGAGCAGGTTTACCTGATGCGTGTGGTATTTCAGGGTGTTACTCACAGGTGCCAACCAGTGGTACAGCCACGCTTTATGAGTTAGTTCATCCAGCAGTTCGAGTTCCGGGCACTCTGCTCTGGTTAATTTATTTAAACTGAAAAATGCAATCTCTTAAGTATATTGCAGTAGATAGTATAATAGTAGTTAGTATTTAAATTGAGGTGGTTTTGAATTCAGACAGGTGAATGTGTCTTTGTTAATAGTTATATCCTTGACAGAGCTTACCTAATAAATCACATTTAAGACTACACTTTTATTTTGGAAGTTGAGGTAATGGCCATGGATATATTCACAGAGTTGTAAACATTGCTTTTGACTTGTTGGCTTACCTAAAATAGAAACTATAGAATAAGAACTAATTAGGTAAGAGGACAGTGTCTTTGGCATGATATTTGTGGATTTTTAACTTCTTTTATTCCTTTTTGATGTTGGGTAACCTGAAATGTTAATTTAAAATGTTTTAACTACTTTTCATTTAATTCAAACTTACATTACTCATGATTTGGTAAGAGCATTTGTGTATGTACATTGTGTATTTTAAAGGAACAATTAATTTAGACTCTTGTTTCTGAGAGTTGCATCCAAGATGAGCCTGCAGGGCATTTTCGTCACTCTGTGACTCTGCATAAAAGTAACATAAGGTGACAAATAGAAAAGCAGCATTGCTTAATTTATCTTAAAGCAAACCATGGATCTTGAACTTTGTCTTCATTAGATGTTTTTCCACTTCAGAGTAAGATAATAGGGTGGTATTTAATTTGTTTTGAAAGGATAATTTAATGGACTTAAATTTTTAGAAATACTAAGGGTAGTGTTGCTTGGTTTTATTTTAAAAATATATTCACCTGATAGTTATGGTCTTAAATTTGCATGTTTTCTTTTCACAAATTTTAATTGTGTTGTGCAATGCATGCAGAAGCTTTAAAGTGATAAAAGGTTTTTTTCCTCTGCCTACTGCCACCTTGAAAACCATTTTATTAACTATTTTATAGATTCAGAAGACTATATGCAGTATAGACGAATGAATGATCATTAAATATCAGCATACTCACCACTTAGGTTAGAAAGTAGAGCAAAACTTTTAAAGCCCGTGTATGGTTATAAAAGTGAAATAAAACTAAAATAAATTCCTGGTATCAGTACTAGGCTGTAAATCTTTTCCCCCCAACTTTTTATAAGAAATAATCAAGTAAAAAAATATAAAAAGGCTGCTTTCACGGATGGGCTTGGAATGAAAATGATGGCGTTACTGCAGTTGGAAGAAATCATTAGTGAATGAGCTATTGGAGACAGAGTTAGAAGCTGGGTTCTTTCATTGCTTATTTACTAGTTCAGAACTTGGTGAACTAACCTCCCTGTTTTTGCTTATAGTTTCTTAAAGAAAAAATCATATTGAACATTATGATTTTTTTCCTTTTCCATATTATTTTAAATCGTAATAATCATGTGATTAAAAAATGAACTTCAGTTTATAAACTAACTTAGTACGCTAGGAGTTTTAAAGGCAGAATTCAGAAATGTAATCTTATATGTTGAGGAAATAACAATGTAAGCCAGATGTGTATTTCTGGACATAGTTGATATTTGATGGGAATCACAAATAAAAGTCCTAAAGCCCACATCAGACTCTGTGTTTTGTTCTTTGTTTTAGGCTCTCAGCGTGCAGTCCTCTCCAAATGGCCAGTTTGTAGCGCCCAGTGATATTCAGTTGAAATGCAACTACTGCAAAAATTCCTTTTGTTCAAAACCAGAAATCCTGGAATGGGAGGCAAGTCCTGCTTGGCTGTGCATGTTTTCTAGTGCTAAGATGAAAGCCTGGCGTGTAACACGGGCTTCCATTTGAGAGTCGAGAGTTTGTGTCTTACTGGATAATGATTTGTTTTTCAGATTTTGTAATGATTGGATTATTTGCTTTTTTTATGTTGGAGTGGCACCAACAAGGGATCTGGGGTTTTTTTAGGTCACACAAAAGATTACTGAAGTCATGTTCAGTGTGTATTATGTCCATAACAGTGTACAGAATGCCACGTGGTTTAGCTGCATGCCTGGATCGTCTGTTTGTACAGTATCGTGCCCACCTGTCTTCCCACCCTGCGTCTTTATACTGTCTGTGAACCACAGTATCTGCTGTTGCCTTATAGTTGCCATGTAATCATTTAACGTTTTATAGTTGTTCTAATAAAAGACTCCCAGTGTACATTTTCCCTTTCTCATCATTCTTGCCTTCACTAGTTTATTAATTTACTTTGCCATAGCTTTTTGCTGTTAGCCAAAACTGATCATTAATGTTTGTTTCAATAAAGGGGCAGTGATGGGTGGAGGGAAGGAATGAGAGTGGGGTAGGATGGCCCTGGCTGGACGTTGGTTCTTGAGCAGTGTTCACCCTTGGCCATTCTTTCTTTCCCCCTTTCTGAGGGTCTGGAGCGTGCAGCTGAATGGTGGACAAGGCGTGGTGCTAACAGCGACTGCTCTTGAGCCAGACTTCTGAGTGGCTGGTGGCAAGTCACTCAGGATCTGAGTCTTGGGCAGAAGGTGACATCCAGACTGGATTTACGTGATTGCTAAAGTACTGTGGAAATCTGGAATTGTATTATTTAGTCCCTAGAGAATTGTTTTGTTTTGTCTCAAGAGCATTTAAACTGGTCATTCTCAGAGACCATTGTTGCCACCCAGCGAGGATTGTCGGTGACTGTTACCCTCTTTAAATCACGGCAGGGAGGATGCTGAAGGCCCAGTAAGAGGGAGCAGAGCAGCGGTGGGGAGTGAGGAAGGAAGGTGGAAAGTGAGCACGTAGTGCCTTCTGGGGGACCAGGACCCTGCACAGACCGGGCTCTGGTGATCTGGGTGAAGCAGGGTCCTCTCCACCCACTCCACTCTGGCCCTGTCCCGCTTTTGTGGCCTTGGTATGTCACTTTTATTTACATGGAGGTGTCTTGTTGGAGTGAGCTAAAGCTCTGTCGACCTGGCGGGAGTCCCTCGGGGGCTTCTGGCCGCTTGTTCCTCGGTTGGCAGTTGTGGCTCCTTGGTTGCTGTTTCCTCTTATAAGTTAATGTCCCCTGTGGGCGCCTCTCCACAGATCCCCGTGGTCGCCTTACTGCTCGGGTTGCTAACGAGACTTTCACCTTCCCTCTTGGCCTTCAGGTAGCTCTGCTGAGTGTTAGGTGGGCGGTTTAGACCTCGTCCGTGTCCTCCATGATAGGAGAGGAAGGTCCACCATGAAGGTTTAATGGACTCTGATGTTTGAAAAGCATCTCTGGCTGCTGTGGGTTTGGGGAAGGAGAAATGACTAATCACTAACCTTACTCTGGTCAGCGGAGCCAGCGCAGTCTCAGCAGTGCCCGAGTGGTGGCCCCAGGCTGCATGCTTGCCCCGTGGTGGGTCTGTTACCTTCAAGCTGTGACAGGAAGGTGACTGAGCCTGCTTGACGACATTTGACAGAGTATTTCTTTTTGAGTGCAACTGCTTTTATTGTCACAACTCATCTTTCTCTAGCTTACCCACGTTGTGTCTTCCATCCTCCTCCTCCCACCTCCCCAGTTCTGTAGCAGCACCAGGCTGCCGTCTTGCTTTAGTGCCACTGGTACTTTCCCTGAGTAATTTTATGCAGCGATGTTGAATTTTGTGGAGCGATGTCTAAATACAGCAGTGAACTAGTTCAGCTAGGTGTCTGTGGCCTATAGGAAATGTATCCCAAGGATTATAACATTAAATAGGTAACTGATTTAACTTTGTTTCTGTAAAAGTGGCTTGTTTATTTCTTAAACTTGTTCTTGAGGTGGTTGTCATGTACTTACCAAGGTTCCCATTGTGCATTTAGAACAAAGTGCATCAGTTCTGCAGCAAAACTTGCTCAGATGACTATAAGAAGCTGCATTGCATAGTTACGTATTGCGAATACTGTCAAGAGGAGAAGACTCTTCATGAAACAGTAAATTTCTCTGGCGTTAAGAGACCTTTCTGTAGTGAAGGCAAGTGTACATACAGTGTTCATAACTTTTATTAATATTTAATGTTTTTTTTGCCAAGATATTTTCAAAATATGTAACTACATATGTTCAGAGTAGCTCTACAATTTTAGCATAGCTGAACAAAAAAATTGAGCTCACTTTTTTACTGACTTGTTTTATTATTTTGCATATATTTGTAGACCTCTGGGCCTCAGGGTGTTTCATCTCTTAAGAATTTGGTGACCTGTTTTTCCATTCCCAGAAAGTTTTGAGAATAAAATAAAAGCAATATTACACATGTCCTTCCTAAACATACAAGCTGTGATCTGAAAGCTGGCTTTCCAGGCGGATTAGAATTGGTTTCCGTTGGCCCCCATTCCCTGCCCCACTTACTGCCTGCTCTGCAAAGATGTCAGTGTCCCAGCAGGAGAGTCATAGGTGGCCTCACTGCACTGAGCAAGTACCGTCGGGGCTCCCGCTCAGGATGCCAGGGAGACGCTGGCTCTGCCGTGGCACATTCCAGGCTTGCCTTTCCTCACGTGTGTGCCTGCTGCTCGGTGCCGGGCAGCAGACGGCAGAAACCAGTCCGCGTCTCATTCTCGTTCCAGAGGCGGGAAGCAGGCTTGTGGCTTTGGGTTTGGGGCTCTTCTTGTTTTCACTTTCCCCACATGTCATGCTCTCGCTCTGCGTGGCCCCTGCCTTCTGTTCTTTCTGCCCAGACCCTGGACTCGCAGCCCTTCTACCTGCTGTCCTCTTCTGTTATTTTCTAGTTGGTTTTTTTTTTTCTTCTTCCAGGATCCACTTTTTCTATAGGTTTCTACTGCTAGTTAGGGGCAAGAGAAAGGTTGGAAATCCTAAATGCCAGCAGTAGGGACTGGCAGCAACACCACAGGATCATTAGTCTGTTCACACTTCGTGCATTTCACACACGAGGCATGTGTGCAGGAGGGTGCTGCCTGGAGCAGGCCTCCTGGTCACGTAGGGTCAGTAACCGTGCTTACTGATAGAGTGCAGCTGCAGTGAAAAGTGACACAGTGTTTCATTGAAAAGATTGATTCTGAATTCATTTACCTCTTTTTACACCTGAATTTTTGTGCAGTGACAGCCTTAAGTGATTTGTAAGTCTGAACATACTTGTGTTGATGGCTAACACACATGTCAATGATCTTGTACCATTTGGATTACATGGATTTTATTAAAATGAAAAACAAGTAGGAGATAAATAATTGACACTGAAGAGGTTAATTTTCAAGGAGAGACATAATGGCTTTAGTTGGGCAATCAAAGGATGTGTATCCTTTTCCTGTTTAATCTGTTTTGTGCTTTCTCTGCCTGCACCTACTTCTCTGCTGGAACCCATCAGAAATAGCAAAACATGTAATACCTGGCACCACCATTAACATCTAGCTAGAAAGGTAAAGCTAATAAGGTGAAATACAACACGATTTAAATTGGAGTTGAGAATAACAAAAGCCATGGGGACAGAAGATAAGTAACTGCCGAGTAAATTCCGTAGGAAACAGCCGCAGCCCTGTCCTCGTTAGAGAGTGGGTAGGGTTTCAGTAGGTGGGTGAGGGAAGGTCGCTCTTGGTGCACGGCCTGAGTAGATGTACGAAGACTCTTTATCCTTAGAGAGCCATCAAGAGGAGTAAGTAAGATTTATATGTAAAAACACTTAACCATGCGTTTACATAGTAGGTGAAGGAAGTGTTTTATTAAAGGAAGAGGGTAACAAAATGTTCTCTCGGAGTCAGTCATCAAGCCAGTTCCCTGCAGGTCCTCTAGAGTGACAGAGACAGGTAAGGCTAGAAAATGTGGCTCCCGTGCCTACTTGGCTGAATGTATCTTTAGGTTTACTCAGTGCCTCTCCATAGTCTACATGCTTCATTTTTCTAAAATGCCTATTTGTTACGTGTTTATGATACTGATGATCATATTTAAATAGAACAAATGAAACAGCTCTGAGACATTACTAGACTTGCAGGTCTTAGAACATTAGTTATTTGAACTCACATGATATCTGCTATTCCACGTTCTGTTCCAGTTTTTATAGGCTGGTGTTGATTGCAGTAGATTTCACAGTTTTAATCAGGAGAAAAAGAGGAATTTATATGTGAATTTATAGACACTTTCTAAAGCCAATTACCTATTTGATCTATAAGCTTTCTTGCCTCAAAAATTAAGTTTTTGACGTGTTTTTGTTTTAATATTGAAACCTTGTATTTTTCAGGCTGCAAACTATTGTACAAACAGGATTTTGCAAGACGTTTAGGACTGAGATGTGTTACTTGCAACTATTGCTCTCAGCTGTGTAAGAAGGGGGCAACGAAGGAGCTGGACGGCGTGGTGAGGGACTTCTGCAGCGAGGACTGCTGTAGGAGGTTTCAGGACTGGTACTACAAGGCAAGTAGTGCAGGACTTGCTCACAGCAGTGCGGGGCCAGTCTCTGACAAAGTATGAGCGTGGTAGCCTGTTAATCGCATAAGTGTGCACACGTTAGGCTCAGCCTAGATTGTACGTGTGATTAAATATTTGTCATTCCAGTTTGTTTTTTATGCCTTGAAGTAGCATTTTTGCTTGTTTTGTAACTTAGGTACCAGCCCAAACTAGGATATTTCCAGCAGTGTAGTTTAACAAAATGGGTTATTTATCTAAAATTTGTGTCTTTATTTCACTAAACAGAAATATTTTTGATGAGAGTACTTTATCAGTTTTGAACCTTGGCAGGTAATCATTCTGGATTCTTGGAATGCGTTTTTAAATACTTGGAATTTTTTTTCCCTTTTTAATTGTGAATCTTTGGAGAGTTTCAAATTGAAAGGACACAATATGAATAGAGACCAAACACATTTACTTTGAAATTGTAAATAAGTGTATGTGTCTTAGTAAACTCTACTTCTAAAAAAGTAGGAGAGAGACCCCCTGTGGTCCATCGTATTGGTTTCGGCCCACATTTGGGCTTTGTTTAGTCAAGATACTACCCAAGAAAAAGCGTCTTTCATTCCTCAGTAGAAAACCATCTCAGTGCTGAAGCTTCGTTGTGGACACGGTCCTAAAACATGAGAGGAGGGGTATCAGCTGTAACCTCAAAGTGGTGAAGTGCTGCCAGAGAAGCAGCACGATGGATGAAATATGTAGAATATTGTTTAAGTTCACTTATAAGTTGACTTAATGAAAGTGACTAGTGTTAAAATGATGCTACTTAAGAGAATCATGGGAATTCTTGGTGTAGTTCTTGAATATCTACAGCTCAACATAGTAATAAACATTGTTTACATAAAAAGAGGGGGAAGATACTTTCTGGGTTGTCATAGGCTAGGATTTTGCTGCACTTTTAAAGTTGCTTCATTATTTTACTGTTGTTTATATTTTAAGCCTTAAGATTAAAAGTAAGGCTTATATTTAGAAACACACAGGACGGACATAACAACAGCCCCCCCAAGCTTCCCTTTCAGTCTAAACCAGCATCTTTTTCTGTTTGGACAGATGAGAAGTCTCTCAGAAATCTGACTGTAATGGCTCTAAATGCTCAGTTTTAGCTGAGTGCACACACAAATGCACCCTTTTCTCCACTGTTTAGGAGGTTTTAATGTTTGAAAATTGGTTTTGGATAATTTGAAAACTGTGAAGATATTTAGTGGCTAAAAATAATAAAATTCCATTTAATTCTTACTATCTGCCACCTTTTTCATCATTTATTTTATAGTTTGAGACAGAGGATTTCCCTGTCATTCTTTATTTTACAAATTTCTGCCTAATTGTATAATTGTTAATACAAAACTTTAATTTTTTCCAAATAATCTTTTTTGGAGGATGCTGTTTTTTGTTACATAGCACATGAAATGTATTTCTCTGTTTGACATCTTTGAATGTATTTTTCTGTTTTCTTTTATACCACTTATAATTAAAATAGAATTTTTTCTTTTTTGGGAAGCAAAGAAGTTGTTTGGCAAAAGACGAGATTGTTCTAGATGTAGCCATTTTTTCCATTTCCTATTTAAAGGATAATTGTATCTAATGTATTTTTATATGTTCAGTGATGAAATTTCAACAAGGCTGTGCATTTCAGAAAGTGTTAGTTAAATACAGCAGCGTTATGACATGCTGTGTAATCTGAGGGGTAAAGTCACCCACCAGAACTTGTAAAGCAAGGACGGTGGTGGTTTTTAAATAGAGTCATAGGATCACCACCTTCGAGATGTCTCCTGATCCGTGGTTCGCCCTCTGGAGGGAGCCAGTGCTGTGGTCAGAGATTCATCTTGTTCTGTGAGTCTGTCCACTTGAGTAGCTGTGTTTTCTGCACTTTTCAGGGTCTCCTCACAGCATCTTGAAAATGTGTTAAATTGAGTCCCAACCAAATACTGATGTTTTTGACCTTCTTTTCCCTTCTACTTTTTAAATTTAAGAACTCACAGTTTTAAATTTTAATTCCTTAAAAAATGCGACCCAGCTTTTATTAGGGAGATGATCTGTGAGGAGTGCCTTGGCAAGGGGAGCAGAGACACGAGAGCCTGGCTGCCCACGCGGGGCGCCTCTCTTCTCTCTGTGCTTCAGTTTGAGACTGCTTAGAGTGTCAGTAACTTACATTTATGTATTTGATAGTATATTTTTAAAATTTCTGCGTATGTTTGTTTAACTTGACGTTTTGAATGATATGTGTTTTCTGATCTGTATAATAGTTTGGTTTTGGATTTAAAATAGAGGTTTATTTAACCACTGTCTCTTCTAAGTTAGAATACAAAATCCATTGAAATCATGCAACCAAAAAATGCTGAGAATAAAATTAATGTTTTTTTTCTTCTCCCAGATAACTCTTTAGAAGGAAGTAGGTTTTACTTTTCCTCAAAGTAGATGTTTCCAGGCATAATGTGGAACCAGGTGGGAGGGTATTTCTTTTGATTTCTACAAGTTTCAGATTTTATTTTTTTATTTTAATTTTTTGTTGAGGGGGGAGGTAATTAGGTTTGTTCATTTATTTATTTTTAGAGGAGGTGCTGGGGATTGAACCCGGAACCTTATGCATGCTAAGCATGCGCTTTGCCACTTGAGCTATACCTTCCCCCTTCTGTAAGTTTAAAATTTTTGGAGAGAAAAAATTTAGTATGGTAATGGAGTAATAGCTTGGTGTTTGATATATAGTGAAGATAATTAAAAAACCCACTGCAGAATTAGGTCTGATTGGTGAAATGGGAACAAGTGAATGGAAGGTTACAAGGACGTGTGTGTCAACCAGAGGTGAGAGTGAAGCTGCCCAGGAAACGTAAGGGGCCATCGCTGTAGGTTGGTGACCTCTCCTCAGTTTTGAAGGGGAGGCGCCTGCATTAGCTGAGAGGTTGGATTAAGGTTTTGAATTTAGAGCTTAGTTAGTACCTGCCTTGTATTTAGATTGTTTGAATCAGTAACTGTTTTTCCCCCCTTAAAATAACACACAATCCTTGATTTTCCACAGTGACAGGAAAACCGCGAAGTGGATGGTGATGCAGTCTTTGTTAAACCAGAAACAAGTCACCCTTGAGGTCTTTACTGTAGAAGTGCTAAGGGTTCCGGAGCTCTCTCGGGACGGAGGGGGTGGGGGACGGGGGGATGGTGGTGACAGTGTTGTAAGGGTTGGTGGTCCCTGACGAGTTTTCAACTTAGCCCACTTCTGAACACTGCTAGGAAAAAACAAACCAATAATGAGAGGTTCAGCAGCTCTCAAGTGCTGGTTGTGGTGTTAAACTTGGAATTAGTATTGAATTTTGTAACTGTACTTTCATCCTGAAAAAACACATACGTATTTTGTTTCCATTTGCAAATTAGCATTAATCTTGCCCCTTTTTTCTTTGGATAGAGAGAGATCATCTAAATTTGTTTTGAACTTCCTAGAAGAAAGGAGCTTCAAGTATTATTACTGCAAATTCCAAATGTCTGTAATTACAAAATAATGAAGTGATTTTATTGTTCAAATTCTTTGGGTGGAACGTGCTTGGTTTTTGGTCTTCTAAATTATTGTGTAAATGGAAATATTACCATATACAAAGAGTCAGCTTAGTACTTTGTATAGAAATCGCATACAGGTTGATTTTGGGTTTAGATGTTACACTGAGAGAACCTTGTTGTGGTGTTCTGCCCCTGTTTGGGTTTTTATTTGCTAGTTATTCATTTAGCTCATTTTGGGTTTCCATTGTCTCTCTAATGTGGTGCACTAAATAAAGTCCAGGTTTCAACTTGGATTGTCTGCTTTGAATCCTGCCTCTGCATTTTCAGTATTTGAGCATAAGTCACTTTTGTGAAGAAGTTACTTTTCATGTGGACCTTACTTCCCAGTTCTGTTGTGGGGAGCAAGGCCCCTCTTGTGCTCAGATCAGTGAGCACAGTGTGAAGCTCCCTTCCTTCCCTTGTGCTGTGGCTTTTCTTTGAATATAAAGTATAAAGAGGGGGGAAACCTGGAAAACTGGAGCACTTCAGTGATTATTTTAAAGAACAGCCTTTGCTGGTGAGAGTTTTACATTGAGACTCTTTTTTTTTTTTTTAAGCTAGGATCTGATCGACAGTAGGTGCTAATATTACTGGGGTTACCAGGTTCTATCACCAGCGGTATAACATTTAAGCAAACAGGAGGTGTGGTATTGGCATCACTTAATAGTCATAATTTATACTGCAAATCTTCATTCATTTAACGTTTATTCAGCAGGAGAAATACCTGACCTGGAGAAATAAAGAGCCCGTGTTCTAACCTTGGGGTATGTTTGTTATGTAAGACCTGTTTACCAGCGCAGTTCTTTGTTAATGTCCCGGGAGTTTGACTGAGTGTTGACTCATGGAACTCCTGTTGCGACCTAAAGTGAGAGATTTCAAAGCCCATAGTATAAACTCTAGATTATTTAGAGAATGGGGAAAAGGTACAGCTATGATTGTTATGAACTATCGAATATACAATATTTATTGCATTATTAAAACTTCTAAGTTGATGATTAAACCAAAGGGTAATTTAAAAAGTTATAGTAATTTATTTGTACTGTAACTAGATAAAAAACTCGATTATGAAAAGAACTATATTTGAAATTAATCATACCTTTCGGTCCACTCATTGATAGGATGTTAAGAAATAGTGAAAATGGGCAAAATCTAGAAAAAATGAGATCTCTAAAGATTCTGTCCCTAGAGTATTCACCATCATAAAGTATAACTTTTTATGTATGAATTTTAGTTGGTTTTATTTTGTGTTTAAGTCATAGACCAGTTGGGGCTGATTGTTTTCCTTGAAATAGTTCAAATTTGTCTTAAAGCAGAATTGGTTTTTTTTGATTAATTAAACATTGAGTGTTTTAAAACATGAACTTTTAAGTTCTTGTTAAAATTAAATCAGTGTGTTTGTTAAAGCTTTTCAAATTTATTACATTAAACTGCTGAGAAACAACATCCACGATTTTCTCAGCATAAGAGCTGGCTTCAAATTTTTCTGGTCTTTGCCCTCCTATGAATTGGTCTGTTACGAGCTCATGAATCTGGGAGGTCTGTTCACTGGTCGGAGCTTTCCAGTGCAGTTCGATGTGGGAGTCTCACCTGGACCAGCGCAGAGGCTCGCAGAGCCGTAGGATGCGCTGTTCCAGTGGGGTCTCCCACATGCAAGTTTGTTTGCTGGTCTTTGTGATGCTGGTCTTTGACTCCCGGTAAGTAAAGAAAGGGGTTTTGACAGTTAGGTAAGATGCTACTTTTCTCCACTCTTGTGGGTTTCACTGTGTATTTATGATTTATCTTATAATTTTATTTTTTCTTTATCAGACCTTGTTTTGTCACTTTTGGCAATAATCACTGAGACTTGTAAAAATCTTTAAAAGTGCATGTTGGGCTTTGTAACCCTTGTGACTGGGCTCTGTGGTCCCTCCTCCCATCCAGGCCGCGAGGTGCGACTGCTGCAAGTCTCAGGGGGCGCTCCGGGAGCGGGTGCAGTGGCGCGGGGAGATGAAGCACTTCTGCGACCAGCACTGCCTGCTGCGCTTCTACTGCCAGCAGAACGAGCCCAACATGGCCACGCAGAAGGGGCCCGAGAACTTGCACTATGGTACGGGGGGCGGGGCTGGGGCCGAGGCCGGGGAACCCCTGCGGTCTTTGCCTTCGGTGGTGGTGGCGGTGGTGGCGATCTCAGTGGTTGGGTCTGCAGGTGGCTGAGCTATGTCCACAGTTTCCTTGGGTGGGGGTGCCTTGTGTGGTGTTTCTGTGGGTGTGCTGCTTTTTATTAAATTCTTTTTTGTTTTTTTCTTTTCATTTTTATTTATTTTTCTTAATTTAATTTCTTATTTTATTCTCTTAAAAATTTAATGCTAATCGAAAAAGTAGAGTATAGTTGGGGGTAGAGAGAAACTAAACAGAATTATGACGAAAGTTGTAAAAAGTCCTTTTGTGTATCTTATGTCACATGCAGTTTTAAATGAAAACCGTTTTTAGCAAAGTATTGTGCTGTGGGCAGGCGAGTGGGGAAAGACAGCAAGCTCTTTAGAAACTGTGACTTCCTAGAGAAATCTAAGAATATAGTGTTGCCACAGGGAATGCATGCCTTCTGGGGCTCAGCAAAGGGAAGGGTTAATTCCACCTATTCAGCGGGTATGTCAGCTCTCACAGTTCATATTCTTCACTTAAATATTTTCTTCAGTAACTTTTAAAAATCAGTAAAATGTAATGAGAAACAGGGATGTAGAAAATTCTGAAGAAAGTAATATTTGTCTTACTTTAAATTTGTTTGTTTCTAGATCAGGGTTGTCAGACGTCCCGATCCAAAATGACAGTAAGTATTGCTCAGGTGAAGTGCTGAATGCGGCTGTCGTCACGTGGGGGTAGAAAGCAGTTAGTTCAGCTTGATCTGCTGTGATGAGGGGAGGCTTTGACCTTCCTCTGTTGAGATGGTCGTGAGTTTCGCATTCAGCTGAGCTCCTGGTGTTCAGACAAATCCTTCCCTACCTGCTGAGGAGTGGCAGAGGGAATGAACTGTGGCCTTGACCCACGTCGGGCGAGAGGGATGCAGAAACACCTTGCTGCAGCAGCAGCGGTGGTGGCTGCGTCTGGCCCTGGCAGCTGTGGCAGAGCTTCCAAGCGGTTGAGCAGAAGGCCCCGTGGACGGGGGAAGTGGGAGGAGGAGCATTGAGCCAGGTGTGTGTGTTTGGAGAAACTACCCCTGGGGCCCAGCTAGGAGAGCCCGTGGTGGAATCTGGGGGGCGAGGGCAGGGGCAGGCCAGCAGTGGTTTTGTGCAGATACTCCTCAGTAGGGACTGAAGGTCTGTGCTGGGACCAGAACTTGTGCATTTTTAACTTTGAAAAGTATTTCCATAATGTTTCCTTCTGGGCTGTTCTTTTAGTTTTTTTCTGCTTTCTTTTTCTTTCTTTTGGTGAAATACATCCATTCTGCTTTTATGTTAGCATTTAAAGACGCTCATGGCTTGGAAGTAGCCATTCATGTGTGGCAGTAGGAGCAGTGCTGTGCCGCACTTGGAGCAGGGCTCGCCCTCTCTGCTGGTCTGCAGGTGACCATGGTCACGTAGTGACATCCCTGTCCTCAGGGGCCCCTGTGGGAATCTGCGTTGGCGTCACAGTGAGTCTCTGGGCTAGTTTTGTCCTGGTAGAAAAGAGAAAAATCAGTGGTTCTTGGCTCTGGCTGCATGCTGGAATCACTTGGGGAGTTTTCAGAACCTTCAGATGGGTTCCAACTCAGAAATTCCGTATTTTTGAGAAGTTTCTCAGGTGATAGTAATACGTAAGCACAGTTCAGAATCACGGTTGAGGCTGAAAGATTGCTGTTTGGTATTACTCCATTCAGTTTTTGCTTTTGATGTTAATAGTTGGGCAGAATTCTACAAAAATAAGCATGTTTTCCTTGGCTGTCTCCCCCTTCTGTTCCCCCCGTGGAAGTAAAGTTTTTAAGTCAGACAGTTGAGGAGTATTCAGCTGAACCGTCTCGAGTCTGGTAGCAGGCATGCTGATCCCTGCTGCGGGGTAGGAAGATGGTCCCCCTCGACACCTCCCACCAGCACCTAGGCCACCTCCTCTGACGGCGGGAGGACCGAGGGGCTAAGTCAGTGCCCTGCAGCCCTGGCCTCTTGTCGTAGAAGCTCCCTCCATCTTCTCCTAAGTTCGGGGAGTCTTCTAGTTCCTCACCCGTAAGCTTCAAAGGCTGCGCGCTCAGCTGCGTGGCTTTGGGTCACTCTCCTGACTTGTTTGTGTGCCTTTCCCTTGTTTGTAGTGTGGAGGTGAGGGTGGCACCGCTCAGGCGCCACCACAGGCAGTACTGAACCCACCTCCACAGGCAGGGCGCCTGGTGGTTAGAACTGGGTCGGATGAATCCAGACTTCAGAACCTGCAGCTCCCAGGTTGTGCGACTTCTGAGCCTGTCTCCTCATCTGCAGAATGAGAGTGAAGAAAGGCCTGCCGCCTCCTGTGGGCTGTGAGGGTTAAATAACTCATGTCCGAGGTGTGTCATGTTGGTGTTTGCCTCAGGTCTGAGTCTGCGTCCGGGACACCGTAAACGAGACAGCCTACAAGCCCACGGTTCTGAGGCCGGGCTTTGCTGTCAGGGCTCCAGCAGATCCGACGTCTTCCTGGCTCACAGGCTTGTGCTGGAAACAAGTGTCCTTTTCACAATCTAATTAATGCCAGTTGTCGTGTTTGTGTACTTTTTGTTGGTGATTTTGCTATTTAAAGTGTCCCCAAGCATAATCAAAATGCCATTTGTTGTGCTAAGCACCAAAGGCTGCCGGCACCTGGCGGGAACACTGCTAGGTGAGCTTCGTCCAGTGGGCCGGGGTCCGTGCTCGTGTGGCTGCTTCCAGAAAGAGGACGGGAAACGCATTGTGTGTAGAGCTGAGGGTGTGTCTGTAGTGCACAGAGGAGTTGGTGGCGTCGTGACCACAAGCGTGGTTCATGGGCTTATGTCTGATTAAACAAAGCACAGCCTGCCCTGCAGGATTGGGTGGGTGTGACACCCCCTTCCCTGGGGCTGTGCCACAGCACCCCCTCTGGAGCAGAGGTTCAAGTGTCTGTGAGGACTGTGTGGCCTTAACTGCCCGGATAACTGTCTGTGCCCTTTCCCGTGTCCGCAGGTAGGGTGGAGAGCTCCCAGGTGTAGCCTGCCAGCCCCAGGACGGGGGTGTGTGTATGTGAGTGTGTGTGTGAGTATGTGTTGCACGTGGTGCAGTGGTGAGCGTGATGAGACGGCCAAGACTGTGTCTGTGCGAGAAGCTTCTGAAATTGCAGTTACTGGGATGTAGGAAACACAACTCAAAGTTTGATAATAGTTTTGGTAATTCTTTTCATCATTTTTCTTATCTTTGCAAATTTAGTGCCATGTAAAAGCAGTTTTTCCAGTAGAGGGAGCTAGAGTATCAGAAAGCCATAGTAATTGCAGGAACTTTTTTCTTTACAGATAAATTTTAAAAAGCCAAATTATTTTCAGAATTCAGTTTAACTGCCTTGCTATTTTACTTAAAAGTGAGACTTTTTACTTTTTTAAAAGAATATGCTGATGGTATCTTTGAAAGACACACCTGTGCAGAAGGAATGATTATCACTGCTTTGCCTGTGGCTGGGATAGATTTGTGTTCATCTCCCAGATCACGTCTGTGGCTGACATGATACATCTCGTGTGTTTTGAGTATATTCTTCCACTTTTGTGTGTTCCCTTCGCTGGACCTAGAAACAAGATATTCACTAACACCAGAAAGTAACACAAATTAAAGGAAAATTGAAGTGTTTCTCTTTGCTTCTCTGTAGGGCTCAGCACCTCCCCCTTCTCCGACCCCCAACAAGGAGATGAAGAACAAAGCGGTTCTGTGCAAGCCTTTAACCATGACCAAGGCCACTTACTGCAAACCCCACATGCAGAGCAAGTCCTGTCAGACGGGTAATTGCCCTCGCTGAGTGGGATCCCTGCTTTTCTCAAATCATAGGCTACAGAATAGAGGTTTTTGGTCACTGTCGTTTTTCTGTTCATTTTGCTTATCCAGTTTTAGACATTGCCGTGAGAATACAGCATATCTTTTAAAATCATTAGTGAAGATCAATCTCTAATAAAGGCCCACAATACAAGTTAGTTCACAGAGATAAAACGCTGTATCAGAAATTTTGTGGAGCTGAGAACCACTAGAGTTAAAGTGCTCCCTCAGAGAAACCCAGCTCCCGGAGGGCGGTCTATAACGTAACTGTTCCGTTGCCTTGTCAGAATGAGATGAAATTACTCAAATACGTATTTTCATCAACTTTAAATGTTAGCTGTATTCTAATCGTTTGATTAAATAAAACTTTTTGTGGCGGGATATCTGGTAGGCTGTTTTTAAAGGACGTTTTCTTTCTATTTAAAGAAAAAGGTCTTAATTCTGCTTGTGCTCTCTGCAAGTTAGAAGAGCTGCTTCAGTCACTTTTGTTGTTTTTAGCTTAACCGCATTGTGTGACACCTGAAGTTCTCTGACACGGGTCCCGAGGCCCTCAGTTTCTCGTGACCACACCCAGACTGAGCCCTGTGAGCAGGTGCCGCTCGCTGACGCCGCCTCGGGCCCTTTTATGCTTTCAGACGGCGGCTGGAGGGCGGAGCGCGTGCCGGTGCCCGTGCCGGTGCCTGTGTATGTGCCGGTGCCCATGCACATGTACAGCCAGAGCGTGCCCGTGCCTACCACACTCCCCGTTCCCGTAAGTCAGCCCTCAGCTCCCCACCAAGCGGTCAGCGGGTGCCGGGGGTGGGGCGGTGTGGGTGCAGTCACTACCTGGGAGGCTGGCTGAACGGAGGTGCCTTGCCTTCTGCTCAGTTAACTTAGGGCCGGCGGAGCGTCTGCCGGAGGCTACCTTGTGTTTAACCAGGTACGTGCTCTTCCTTGAGTGTGAAGTTTAGCAGAGGTCTGTGTCACTTTACACGTGCCGTGTTCGAGGTCATTTTAGGAAGAAGGATTTGTGAGCTGTGAGGTGTAAAACAGAAACACGGAATAGAGTTTCATGTAAAGCGTCACCATCTGCAGTGCTTGGGGCACCGCGTCAGGGTGTGGCCACTGTAACCCCCTGGCGGACAGAAACACCTCAGTAAGCGCTTGGATTTTGATTTCAAAAAGTGGCTGCTTAAATTGTTCCAGACTCTGGGTGCAGGCAGAGAAGCTGCCTGCAGGGCTGTCTTCTGAGCACGTTTACCCACCAGCACGAGGGCCTCTAGCCTCATGCAGCTACTGGGCCGTGGGCAGCGTGTGCAGCGTGCTCATTGAATTTCCAAGACTTGGTGTGGAAAAAAATAAGATCTCATTGTAGATCTCATTTTAATACTGATTATATGTTGAAATTATAATATTTTGAATGTATCAAGTTAAATAAAATGTATTACTAAAATTGAAAAAAGCTGCAATTTTGGCACTTTCTTTGTCACAGTTGACATCTCAATTTTGGTTCGTTTTTTGGGGGCAAGTAATTAGGTTTACTTATTTATTTATGTTTTTTGATGGAGGTGCTAGAGATCGAACCCAGGACGTTGTGCATTCTAAGCACGCTGTCTGCCCCTGAGCTATACCCTCTCCCGACATCTCAGTTTTGATGTGTATTCTTTCCAAACAGTATATAAAGTAGATCATGTGTCAGGGTAATTTTTAATTTGCAGAAATACCTTTTAACGTATGAACCTAACAGTTAGTTTTTGGTTACTTAGGTGCCGGTTCCCGTGTTTCTGCCCGCCCCCTTGGACAGCAGTGAGAAGATCCCTGCAGCAGCGGAGGAGCTAAAAAGCAAAGTTTCTTCAGAGCCTCTCGATACAGAGCTGCTCACGGTGACAGACGTGATGACCGAGGATGAGGGGGGAGCGGAGGGCGCCGACGTCAACAGTGAGCTCGCTCTGTCCCACTCGTGAACCATGTCATGCTGGAGCAGGGTTGTGGCTGTCCCAGCCTGTCCCGGGCCCCCCCCCCTCCGTGCCCCACCTGGCGTAGGGGTGACACAGGCGGGCTTCCGACTCAGACCTGCCGCACATAGCTGTGCCTGGCTCAGGCAGAGTCTGTACAGTCCCGGGTGAATTGTGGGCGGGGTCAGACGCAGAACTCAGTTTTCTGGGCATTTGTAACTATCTGAAGCCCTGTCTGGACCAGGGCCTGTCCTGACTCCTGCTGGGACAGCGCTGGCCAGGGGCCGCAGCAGGACCTGGGTTCAGTCTCTGCCTCTGTCCTCCAGGGACACCCAGAGTCTGTTGGCTTCCTGACCCTCATCCGGAGTGCAGCACGGGCCTGTGCGTTCCCTGCGTCCGTGTGGCCAGTTCTGGGGTGGGAGGTGATGTTCATGCGCTGCAGCCAGCAGGATGTCAACACAAAGCCCTCCTGGGAAGGTGTTTTGTCCAACCTTGGTTTCCTGTGTGTCTATTTCCCACCTCCACCCTCGACTTGGAAAGATGCCTTTCTCACTGTGGATTGTGATAGAAAAATGCTTAAAGAACTGATCAGAACATTAGGATGTAGTTGCAAATAAGCGTGAATTGAATGATGTGGAAAATCTAGGTTACAGTTCAAAAAGAAGGTTGAAAATCTCAGTTATCCACCCTCATTAGTTTATTTTTGACTAGATTGCTTTTAGGAATGCTCTAGAGTTGTTTTACTGCGAAAGCATAGTGAAGGAGGGGCAGCCGCAAACTCGCAGGATTAAAGGCTTTATGTATTCATGAGCATCGAGTAGCAGTGCAATTAATAGTGCACAGTTCAGCGTAGCTGCGTGCCTTTGTTCCTTTGGTGACGTGTTAATATAAATATTCTTGTTTTGCATTTACAATTAAATGGCCTTTGCTAGATTAAATATGGGTACTGTTGGAGTTTTCCGTTTTGATTTCTAATGACACTGCGGGTTGGTTACAGGTGTGATTATGGAGACAGACGTAATCAGTTCAGACCTCGTGAAGAGCTCTGACCCAGAGACACAGTGCCACGTGCCCGACGTTCCGTACGAGCCTGACCTGGATATTGAAATAGATTTCCCCAGAGGTACCGAAACACTGTTCACTCTTTCAGTGTGAGCATGGCTCTGTAAGTTAGTTATGGAGTCGTAACCTTGGGTGCGGTCGTTAACAATCTAATGTTCGTGTCTTGCCTTCATTGGTCTTCCTGTCTTTCCTTTTTCACTCAAAACGTCAGCACTTAACTTCTGAATGAAGCATATGATTGAACTGGAAGGACTTAAAAAGAATGTCTCAGAGTAATAAGAAACTTCCTCAAAGTAATTTGTTGTAGGAACTTTTGAAGATAAAGAATAAAGAAGTGCAGGTGTCTTTTTTAAAACTTACATAAAATAATGTTAGTATATTTCTTAAAACTTTTTTGAAAATTAAGTTAACCTTCAAAGGGAAAAAATATTTTCGGGTCTTTTGTTGTAAAAGAAATGTGTTCTGTTTTTCATTATATACTTTCTTAACCTATTGACAGCTAATAAGCATATTGAATAGAATATAAAGCATTTATTTTGGAAAAGATTTCATAGATTGAAAAATTTGTACTGAGACCATGTAGATCTTATCACTGAATTTCAGGTTTTAGTAATTTTTCTATCACACATTTCCATGAGAATTCCGTATTGATGATCATTATATGTATTTAAGAATCTGAGCAGGCTTCATCAGAGCTCACAGGCCACGTCAGTTGCAGAAAACTGTCCTTTCCCTGCCATGCACGGGCTGCCCTGGGCGCGGTGCCTGTCCACATTCAGTGGCTGTGTTGACATAATGCAGGCTGTGCCGTTACCTTGAGGTAAAGTCCTTCTGATTCCATTGTCAGCTGCAGAGGAGCTTGATGTGGAAAATGAGTTTTTATTGCCACCTGTATTTGGAGAAGAGTATGAGGAGCAGCCTAGACCTCGATCTAAAAAAAAGGTATTGGAACACGACACACCCTTGCCTTCATGTCGCGCCTGTGTGTGAGCAGAGGGTAAACATGTGTGAGCTTCGGTTGTGCCCGAGAGTATGGGAAGATATTTTGTTTTCCTGGTAGAGGTTTTATTGTTTCATTGCAGTGATAAAAATATCTTCTATTTAGTTGTAATTTCATAGAAGAGTGATTATTATTGCCACTTAGTTTTTATTTTTAATTTTATCCTGATAAAAGGTTGACATTGATAAAAAGTTGACATAGTTGCTAAAAAAGCAAATTCAGTTCTCTGACAGGAATTCAGGCTGTGTTCTAGGCAACTGATCTTCCTCTGGGGGTTTTGATGAGGTCGAGGCACACAGCTGGTCATGGCTGGTCTCTGAAGCCTCCCAGCACAGAGGATGTCAGGCCAACAACTTTCTGTATTTCTGATTTCCAACATAAATGAAGGTGTTAGGAACAAAGGATGACTTTCATGAATCTTCTCTTAAAGAAAGAAACTTGAGAGTGAGTACATGCAGTGGAATGAAGCTGGACTCTTACTTGACGCCACACACAAAACTGAACTCAAAATGGTTTAAAGACCTAACTGTAAGAAAGAAAGTTACAAGACGATGAGAAGAAAACAGAGACTCAGTCTTCATCACCTTGGGTTGGACATAGTTTCTTAGCTACGACACCAAAAGCACAAGAACAGAAGGAAAAAATTAATGAATTGGATGACACCAGAATTTAAAATTTTTGTACAGCAAATAATGCCATTAAGAAAGTGGAAAGGAGCTGAGAAGTTATTCCTGCTAAGGTGCAGTCATCAGGAAGGTCTTCAGTTTCTCTCAGATTTATATGTAGAACCCTGCTGTGTCTGATTATTAGTTTATTATTTATGTCTTATTTTTATTTTCTCATCATCAGTGACTCTCAACTCACAGCAGAAGTTAATACGATTTTGTTGTACAAAGTAGTTTACGCAGAAATACGGCATTCCTGGAGAGAGGTTTCAGGAAATGTAGGTCGCTATTCTCAGGTTCAGAAATGCCAGTCAAGTCGAAGCACATAAATGTATTTCTCTTTAATTTGCATTTGTTGAGAGACGGCTTACGTCAAGTCATGAAATAATAGAGGCTTAGGAAAGTTTTTACAATGGTCTTTTCTCACTAATAGGGAGCCAAGAGAAAAGCGGTGTCAGGATACCAGTCTCATGATGACAGTTCTGACAACTCAGAGTGCAGCTTTCCTTTCAAATACACGTATGGTGTCAACGCATGGAAACACTGGGTCAAGACCAGGCACCTGGATGAAGATCTTCTGGTATTAGATGAGCTAAAATCTCGTAAGTGTTTTGATTTTGTTTCCCCTATGTCCTATTTAAAATCAAGATTTTTGTTACCAACTACTTTTAATTTTAAAAAACATGAATATAACTTAAAACATTTTATATATAAATGTGGCTTTTGTTTTACTTTTAAATCTCTATATAGAGTATATTGATTTCAGAAAGTTTCTCAATCTTAAGACAGCAAATAATGATTATTTTAAATGTTATTTTTTTAGCTAAATCAGTAAAGTTAAAAGAGGACCTCCTCTCTCACACCACTGCTGAACTTGACTACGGGTTGGCCCATTTTGTCAATGAGATCCGACGGCCCAATGGAGAAAATTATGCACCTGACAGCATCTACTACCTTTGCCTTGGGATTCAGGAGGTGAGTGATCTCATGGCTACTTCTGAGAGAAAGGTGGTTGTGGTAGTTCTTGGAGAGAAAAATGTTTTGCTTCAAAAATAAGGGCAGGTCTTACCAAGAAGGACTAAAGTAATCTGTTTGAAAATACTAGGGTATAAAGGATTTTCTTAGCTACTTTGTATTTGGGTGTTTCTGCTGTAATGTGCTATGTTCTTAAAAATCAAGTTCTCCAAAACCGTGTACCAGAACCAAAAAGAACTTAGTGAGAAACGGTGACAGGCCACTCAAAACTCCGGCATCTTTTGTAGCAGGACTAGCTTTTTGTGTATTTATTTGTTTCTGTCTCTCTATTTATACATGTATATGTATTATAAAACATACACACACATCATATCTAGGTTGACAAACTTGTAAACAGATAAAATGTCTTCCCTCTGCAGAGAGGAGGGCTGTTTCATTATACACTTCTGAGGTGTTTCTAACTTGCTGCATAGTGTAACTACTCATTAACTACTCATACTCTTTGGAATCGTCTTATAAAAGAGATCATTCTTTTTAGGGGTTTTAGGTAAACTTCAACCACATGTCTGTGAATCTTGAATGAATCTGTTTTCCATAAAAAGCATGAAGACCTGCTCTAGATAATGACTTCTAGTTCTGAACAAATTGTACAGGTTGGAGCCCAGAGGTCAGAAAAGATTTTATATCCTTTGTATTTTTAAATGTGGTAAATTAGAGAAGATCTTTTTATGCAGAGTTTTGTTTATAGGCCTAAAATTAAATGTTACACTGCTAACAGGTGGTAGATACTAAAATACGTTACTGAAGAAAACTAAAATTGTCTTAATTTGTATTTTACTTACATTGTCTTCAGGACAGAGATTTGCCTAAGACTCAGCAGGGGTGGGGCAGCGTGCCACGCGGCTGTAAGCTGTGTGTGCAGGGGCAGAACATTTACATACTAGAGCCGCAAATGCCGCTAGGCATTTGAAAGCTAACTGGATTGCATAATGAGTGGTTATAAATTATGTCTTTAAATAGGTTCTTTTTTCCAGTTTTTTTATTGTGGTAAAATACATACAGCATAAAGTTTGCCGTCTTAACTAATTGTAAGTTCTGTGGTGTTAAGTTTGTTCATAATCTTGTGCCGACACCACCACTGTCGGTCTTCATGACTCTCTTCCTCTTGAGTTAAACACTCACTCACTCATCCTCCCTGCCCCACTGCTGGCGCCCCCCAGGCACTACCTGTGCCCGAGTTTGCTCTGCCAGGACCTCGCCGAAGAGTTTCCTTTTGTGACGGGCTTATTCCCGCACTCAGCACAGCGTGCTGAAGGCCAGCCAAGCTGCAGCGCACGTCAGAATTCCCTTCCTCTCTTTGGTAGGCTCTTTGTGTACTGAAAAACGCTTCCTCAGAATTTTTTTTACTACTGAACAGTACATTTAAAAATGGTCAATATGGTAAATTTTATGTTCTGTGTATTTTTACCACAATTGGAAAGACAGTTGTTTTACTCGTAATTGGACAAATTTTCACAGACTTGATTTAATTTTTGTTAAAGGCTGTCTGGTGTTTTTAAGCAGCTTTAAACATAACCCTCAATGTGGTGTAAACGTAAGAAAGGACACTTCCCACAAGTCACTGCGGTCGGCACTGGGGGGCGTGCGCAGCAGCAGCAGCTGTTTTGGGAGAATGCGCGTATTTTTTGTCCACTACTGATTTTGTTCACATCTGACAATAAAAACAAGATCCTGTGGAAGAAGGATGACTTCGTAGCTGTGTGTGCAGTGTGTGCAGAGCAGCTCTGTGTGTGCAGAGTGTGTTGGGAGGATGGAGCAGTGAGCTGGGTGTGGAGGGTATTGAGGATGGTTGTCATCCTGGAGTCTCACTCCACGTGGAGGGCCCCCTCCCTCCCTCCCAGAGTAGCCGGGCTCTTTCCTTGGGGTTACTTAAGGGAAGACGGTTGTTTTAGGCATTCACGTAGTAGGGAAGCATGTGAGGAAGACGGAAGGGAAATTCTGTGAGACCTATGGCCATGTGGTTCTCGTGTCTCTCGCCCAGCTGGATTAGCCAGGAGTGTGTACCTCGATGTGTTTTCATGAACAGAGCAGAATAAAGCACAGGGAGCCATGTTACACACCTGGTGTCTGTCTGTCCTTCCCTCTGATTCCCGGTCTGTGCGTCGGCCCCCTCCAGGGCAGCTGGGACCGACCTCACGTTCACACTGCCCTGAACCTCGCCGTTCCAGCAGGGCGAGTGCGCCCTTTGCTCGGTGAAGTTTTGCTGTTACAGTGTGCACCTCCCTCCCCTCCCCAGATCTTACGTGATTGTCACCCTCTTATCTGCAGGGACCCCACCCCCGGCCCCCCATTGGGCACCCGAAACCTGTGTGTACCATGTCTTTCCCTCCACACGTGTACCTGTGATAAAGTTTTGGTTTGTAAATTAGGCACAGTAAGAGATCAACAGTAACTAACGATGAACTAGAATAATTGTAATAATACACTGTGGTAAAGGTCACACGAATGTGGTGTCTCTAAAAACTCGCCCTGCACACGTGTAATGCCTTTTCCGTCCTCACTAAGCACTTGCACGCACTGTGGCTGGAACTTCTGCAGTTCACGGTGTGACAGCGAAACTAGCCTGACTGCGCGGTCCCCCAGCTTCTTAGCACCCTTGGCGACATGCTGGTTTCTCTCCTCGCTAAGCCCAGAACTCTTACCTTTTCACTTAAAGGAAGCACTTTGCGTCCTGCCTGGAGTATCTGAGTTGCCAACTTCACTCCTTGTGCTTTGGGGACCGTAAGTAAAATTCGGGTCACTTGAGCACAAGCCCTGCGGCACCTCGGTGAACCTGATGATCTACACGGCTGCTCAGTGCCTGGCAGGAGGGACGCCCTGGACCACGGGAGGATCCTGTCCCTCCTGGCGGGACGGAGCAGGTCCGAGCGAGGTCTCATCAGCTACTCAGAAGGGTGTGCAGTTTAAAATGTGTCAGTGGTTTATTTCTGGGATTTTCTATTTAATATTTTTGGCCCTTGGTTGACAGTGGGAAACTGAAACCATGGATTTTGGGGGTGGGGGCACTGCACCTTTTTCTCTTTTTGCTTTTAGTCTTTTTCTGCTTTCTCTTGAATTATTTTTCTGTGATTCCGTTTATCTCCACTATTGGTTTATTATTTATTCCTCTTGAATTTTCAGTGGTCGCCGTAGGCTTGTCGATGTAAGTCTTCAGCTAATTGGTACCTGCCTTCACATGTCCCCCACCCCGCAGGTCCCCCATCTCTGTGCTCTCGCCGTGTCACTTACATGTTGTGTCACGTTTCCCCCCTGCAAGTCCCCCGTCTCTGCTCTCGCCGTGTCATTAACATGTTTTTGTCTGTAAACCCCTTGGGCACGGACTCTGCAGACTTTGGTGTTTAGGTCATTCTTTCACCACTGTCACTGTCAAGGTTTGTCATAGTAAGTTGTCAGATCAGAAAAGTGCCCTGACTCACAGAGCGTGGAGCGGAGGAACAGCATGAAACCACATAAGCTGCACAGGGGCCTTCCCGCCGGGCAGCGCTGCCGCCCCGCCCGCCGTCGTCCCGGGTCATCACGCTGACTCTGAAGTCCTGTGTCGTCTCCTCTGTGCCTCACGTGAGCTCTGGGGCCAGATATTCTGTTTTTATCCAACAGGTTGAAGATTGTCATCATCTGGTTGTTACATTCTGAGTTCTTTGGCATGTACTTCAGCTTTGAGCTTTTTAAGCAACCGATTAATTGGTGACTTATGTTTCTTTGATTTCTAAATATGTAAATAAAGCCAATAATCTCTCATATTTCATTATGCCAATAAATACTGAGACATAAGACATTTGTTTATTCTTTAGGAAATACAGAGTATACATAATATATAAATAGCTGATTTTCCTTCAAGAAATTTTTTTTTCTTTTTTTAGTACTTGTGTGGTAGTAATCGAAAAGACAACATATTTATTGATCCAGGATACCAGACATTTGAGCAAGAATTGAATAAAATACTCCGAAGTTGGCAGCCAAGCATACTTCCAGATGGTAATGCTCTTTTAAATGAAAGTGTTGCTAACTTACTATTGGGATTTTAATTTTTACAGAGTATATTAAAAATAAATAGGAAAGAATTTAAGTTAGCGTATTTTTCAGAGTACTTATTCACGAATGCCTCAGTTCATCTTCTGTGAAGTTAGAAATGAATATGGTTGATCGCTAGTGTTTACGAAGAACTTTGTAATGAACGTGACCCGCTTTCCCTGGAGGAAGAAGCTGGATGCTTATTTCTTAAGCTCCCCAGTGGGAATTCTGTAGATTTCTCTAGGAAGCCTCTGTTCCAGATGTGTAAGAAACTAGTTTGTGAATGGCAGTCACCAATTTTTTTCAGGAAGCCTCCTGCCCGTCGTCGGCTTGCCCCGTGGGGAGCGCAGACCCCGAGCCCCGGGTGCTGGCGTGGTCGGATGTGTCCCCGCCTCTGTGTCAGCACAGGGCCGCGGGTGGTTGTGAAGGTCACTCCAGGCTACCTGGAGTGGGTGGAGGATTAGAATAGGTTTGTTCTTGAACTGACTTAATTTCTAGGTGACTGAATGAAACTTACTTGCTGTAATTCTTTAAAACTATTTCTTTCTATTTAAGGGTCAATCTTTTCTCGAGTTGAAGAAGATTATCTGTGGAGGATAAAACAACTAGGCTCCCACTCTCCAGTAGCTCTTCTGAACACCCTCTTCTACTTTAACACTAAATATTTTGGCCTGAAAACTGTGGAACAACACTTAAGACTTTCCTTTGGCACTGTGTTTAGGCATTGGAAAAAAAACCCCGTAACAATGGAAAATAAGGCATGTCTTCGATACCAGGTGTCTTCCTTGTGTGGAGCAGATAATGAAGGTAGGCAGGCCTTCACTCTGGGATTGTCCGGCAGGGCTAGCCACACACTGCCTTTCTAAAGACCACCTGGGTCACTTGTTAGCAACCTAAGGACTGTCGTTTTCATAAAATAAAACATCCTGTGTCGTCTTAAAATTAGGAATTACCAGAAGCCACAGCTTAGAACTCTGAAGGACACCTGGTCCTTCTCTCTGAGGTAACAGATCCGAGGAGTCAGTAGAGTGAGTGAATGCTGTCATGTTTCTTCAAGATTGGGCTTAGAAAGTTATGTAATTTCTGTTTCTTAAGATAAAATTACTACTGGAAAAAGAAAACATGAAGATGATGAGCCAGTCTTTGAACAAATTGAAAACACAGCCAACCCTTCCAGATGTCCTGTGAAGATGTTCGAGCGCTACCTGTCCAAAAGGTGAGTGCTGACGGCACTTCTCTTTGAAATGCTGTGAGTTAGCTGCCTTGAATTCACTACCAAGAGATGACAGTTTCTCCACTGATGTTTTTTCTAGATTTCGCTCTCTTCTCACCTGTATCTAAGTCCATTCACCTACAACTTTTTTTGCCCCATTATTATAAAACACCCAACTGATGCTTCATATTTTAAGATTCAAGCATATGTTAAGAAATCGCTCCTCACTAACGATGAAATTATTAGTGAAACCACTACTGTTGTAGAGGGTCACTAAGTATTTTAGGCTTTTTGGGCCGTGGAGGGTCTGTTGTGGCCGTTCCTGCAGTGGCAGGCGGAGAGTGAGCGCTTGGGACCGGCTCACCTGAGGCAGACCAGGTGGACGGGCGGTGGGGCCAAGTCCCTAGATGGAGAGGAGACAGCCCTTCAGAACGTCTGAGGGCAGGAGCACCTGGAGCTGTCCTTCTTCCTGTCTGATACCAACAGACGTTTAAAAACTTTAAGCCGATGAAATTTTTAGAGACCTACGTTATTCTGCACTTGCTTGCTGACTTAGTGTGCACCGTCTAATTTTTGAAAGGTAGACATGGGCTCAGGATGTGTTTTCTCGCATAAAGGGCTTCCTCAGTTGTTTTTGTAAGTCACACCCCGGTTAGCTCTCAGGACCTCAGGAACAGTGGTGTCACCCTAGGAGGTTGTCCTTGGCAGTTGGTGTCCCCGTGCCAGTCTGGGCAGCCCTGTTGCCTGCAGCAGCACCTGAGTCTTCAGTGGTGGCAACTGTTGGTTGGTTGGAAATGCCTCTCTCAGTATAGAGTGTTATTTTGAAACAGAAGTTTCTTTTGTGCAATGCTGTTCAGTACTCTGATTTTATACAGTGCTATCGTATTTCATCTATGCTAAGGAGTATTTTTTACACTGTACGCCTCTGAAGCTGGGATGCAGGTCACAGCTGGTGCATCTAATTAATTACAGATACAGTTGGCAGTGCCTTTACTTGTTTCATGGCAATATTAAAACAGTGTTTAAAAATAATGTTTCTATTGATGGTGCCTTGGATTCAGTGAAACACCGAATTTAAAATATGGTGGGAAAATAAACTTTTATTGCAGAAATTAACTTTCAGAATGTAGCAGTGATAGAATATTGAATGTAGGGAAAGAGGCATGTGATCTGACCACACAGTGTGGTTGGTAGTAGCAAGACTGTTCCTGGAAGGAAAAAAGAAAGTTGTGGGGAATTTTGTGTCTATACTATGAAATTGACTTTCTCCTTTCTCCCAAAGTCCACAGAATCTTAATCAGAGAATGGATGTTTTTTATTTGCAACCAGAATGCTCTAGTTCTGCAGATAGCCCTGTCTGGTACACGTCTGCGTCACTGGACCGAAACACCTTGGAAAACATGCTCGTACGGGTTCTTTTAGTAAAAGATATTTATGATAAAGACAATTATGAACTGGACGAAGACACAGACTAAAAAAGGAACGTTTCAGAAGCAATCGGGATAAAACAGCATTAGGTAGTCATGCTGCTAGGTCTTCATTATGGAAACATTTCAAGTTTACTCCTTCTGTTCTGAGTTTTGTAGCATTGCACCCACACTGGGTACTACCGTGTAAATAATCTGTGAGTGGGAGCTGCCCCATTATTCTGTGTAGTGGTTTTAGGACACTTACAAATGCATTCAGATTCTTTTTTTTTATTATTATTTATTGATTAGGTATGTTTGTAACTTTTTACATTGGAAAACATGAATGAGAATGTGCCATGTATAATTTTTCTTGTAGTAAGGAACATCCATCTTGCACAACTCTGCTGTTGCAAAGCTCCCTGGGAGGGGCTCTTCTCCTGGACTCCTCACCAGGGGTTGTGTGTGGGGAGCGCTACTAAACCTGAGAACCTGCAGTGTCTTTCAGAATTTTTAAAATAAACTGTAAACTACTAGGCTGGGTTTTTTGTTCTGTTCTGGGGGGGGTGTTTGTTTTGCTTTACACTTTAGTTACTGAAGCCTTACAAGGTTCTGTAGAGAGATACCATCTTCTGTACCAAAAATAGATGAGAGAATGCTGTCAACGTTGGTGTACTGTACTGTGAATCTCTACTGGGAAAGAGCTCTTTGTTCCCCTTATTAAAACCTTAGTGTCCTTTTCTCATTTGTGGCTTTCTGCATCACCCCAGACAGTAGTAATTATGTTATATTTATATATATGTATGTGTGCATATATGTATACATATGTATGTATATATATGAAGAATGATGTTGAAAACATGATCATGGAGACGTTTTCCTTGTAAAAATGTCTGATGAAAGTATAAAATTCTGTTTTCTGTGTCAGCCATAGGTATTCAAAATCCCCTTTGTTATGGAAGTTTGTTTTTCTCTCCCCTTTCAAGGACACAGATCATTTGCAGTATCTGGTGGGCCTCTGAAACCTTACCAGTTCCTGAGCGTTCTCATGCCTGCCCTCGGGTAGGACGGAGGCACACACTGGGTGAGATTGCGTGTAAGAATGCCACTCTGGAAGCAGTTACAGTAAGACAGCATCTGCTTTACTGTGAAGATCACCAGTGTAGCGGCTGGTACTTTAGGTGGCTGGAGGACAAGGAAACAAACTGATGGATAATGTGTATCTCAGAGGAACTTGGTCGGATGTTAAGATTGTTTGGCTTTTACATTTTAATTACTTCTTATAGAAGGTTGCATTAAAAACTTTGTATTTCTGCATAGCAATTTATCCGCTCAGACCTTTTCTTTTAGGACAAGGAAGTTTACTCAAAATCTCTCTAACGACCGAGAAAGTGCTAGCCGCAGTTGTGAAGAAACCCTTTGGCTGACTTCACAGAGCACGTGTGTGGTCATGTTGTCTTGTTTCTGGTTCCCAGGTCACCAGAGTGACGTTGTGTTTGTAAACTGCTGGAGGGAAGTTGGGCCTTTTCCTCAGTGGTTACATAGTGTCCACACATCCCGTAGGTATTTCTCTTCCTTGGGATGAATGTTAGCATTCGGAAGAAATCTTTCCAGTCACAATTTGGAAAATTTCACGAGTGTAATCACTGTATAAGCAATAATTATCAGAAATATTTTGGGCAGAAAATTATTTTATAATGTTCTAACTTGTTTTATAAGTTTGAATAGCATTCTGTCCCTTCATTGATTTTCTGTCAATTTGTTAATCAAACTGACAGCGGCAAATCTGATGCTGCTCAGACTGCTTATTGTCTGTTTAACGACGTGGGTGACATTTAAACTGTATGATACAGAAATTCCCTTGCACCTACCTTTTCTCCAGAATTGCTACGTTAGGCACTTTTCCTATAAACACGTGTTATTGATTAAAAGGTGGTTAATCCTAACCGTCTTTTATTCTTCAGACTGGTGCTGTTTCCATCAAGAGCAATAAAGTTTTTCCCAAATATCACTTAATGTGTATTTTACCAAATACCATGTTTCTGCGTGGCCCCACTGTCAGTAGCACCGTATCTTGCTATTTATGTTTCCTTTATTTTGGCTTTTCTGAATTGGAATGTCTGCACAGTACGGTGTTGACACAATTAAGGATTTAGAGCTCTTGTCTTGGTCTTGATTGCAATTCGAGGATTAACTTGACTCTCAGGGGAAAAAGAGAAAAGTAATACTATTTTATGAGAAAATTTTCTTGGTCTAGAATACATTTCATAGTTTGTGTGGCCATAGCTGACTGCTGAGGAAAGACAGTGAAACGATAGTTTCTTTCTGGTTCTTAGTGATTTCTGATTACAGCGTCCTGTAAATATGACGTCATTGCCTTCGCAGGTCTATTGATTTGCTATATTTTTCTGTTCTGAAGAAGATTTTGCCATTTAAAATGAATCAATGAAAAAGGTTTTGTCCACATTGAGAAAAGTGAATTTCCCATGCAAAATTGAGTCCTCATTAACACGTTTTTTAAGATTTTTAACTGTATTAGATAATGTAAGATATTAAAGGATTTTTCTAGGCAAGAAACTCAGCTCTTCTTTTGGCTATAAAAGTACTTGTTTAATTTGTAGTTCATATTTTTCTCTTACTACACAGGGTTGTCACACAGTGTGTTAAGCAGACTAAGATGGGAAGAGGGTGCATGTTGTTCTGTGCATGCAAACTTTGGTCCCTTTTTCTGATGAATATCCCTTTGTCCTGGCTGACGATGGTTTGGGGTTGGGGTGACTTGTTTATGCGTAGTATTGAGGATATAGTAATGGAGAAGTCATAAAATTGCGAAGTTTCGGTTTGTATTACTCTAATGTTGGTCCGTTTAATCTGAGATCTTAAATATCTTGCAGTCTTGAATCACTAAAAATTTTCACTTTTATTTTGACAGTTATTTCCAGAACATATGTACGTACATTACTTCTGTTCTCAGTTAGGGTGAGCTCCTTGTTCACCTCAAAACAGTCATGAAAGTGTATATGAAAATATTTTTAAAGAATAAATTTCTTTAAATTTCAGTACTTTTGGATTTTCCCCCTTAATAGAAGTTCAGTGGATTTCAGGTATTCCATTCTGTTGTGCTTTTAGGAACAGACTGGTTTTAATGCTGTTTTCCAGTGTTAAGTGCTTGTCTGTTGTTTCTGTGTAAGTCATGCTGGAAAATACCACTATGAACGAAATCTCACTTCAGAGCTGACGCCCAGAGCAGGCTGATTGTGTCGGCCTGGGTCTGAGGACAGAGACACTTAGAATGGTGCCACACTTTGTACTTTTTTCCCTTTCCTTAGAGGCTAGCGGGGTACCCAGATATGTTGCTGTGATCCTGTCTTGTAATGAACTGGGCAAGAGAAAGTGGTTCCTAATATCTGGACATTTAATGTCCTAACTAATTACTGAGTTAAACAATCCATGAATTTAGGCCTTTTGGGAAAAGAGAGCCAAAAAGAAGCTAAGATTTAATCTGAAAATAAAGAACGATTAAGAGCAGAACCAGAGGGGCGGCCACAGACCTTACGTGGGCCCACCCCTGGAGGTCACTGCATCGTTGAATGAAGCAGGTGTAAATCCTAACAGTGTGTTTGGACTGCGGTCGGGGGAAAAACAGTTACAGCTCTTCTGGGACTTCGATGTCTTGTTTAGATAATGCCTCTGAAGTAAACTCAGCACGTGAGAACTCATCACCACAAAACTTAGAATATATCTTTCATATTTGTTCTGTGCCAAGGAACTACAGCCAACCATGGTAGGTGGGGAGGAGGAGAAAATAGAAGATTGACAGTACTGTTCCAAAGGCTACAGTCATGCGGTAAACAAAATACACTTGTAGGGATCTTGAGCTCCTGGGAACTTACAGAGACTGTCTCCATGATAGTTTAAAACTGGCTTGTGGACACTCAGGAAGCCCTGGAGTAGGCCACAGAACACCTGCACTGTGATTAAAACGTCAGGTTCCTGTAGCTTTACGCTGCTTGCGGCTTTGTTACTCGTGGTCGGTGGGGCGATTTCTGATTTATCTTAATGGCTTCATTTTGTTGGTATCTGTCCTCACCTCTGGCTTCCAGACTAACTTACAAGTGTCCAAAAGCAGCACTGAAAGGGGCAGCTGGAACCTGCATTAGAAACGACTCTGAAACATGTTAAACGGCGTTGAACCGAGGTAATTCAGCTTCTAGGTGATGTGGGTCGGGTGGAACAGGCAACGTCCACTATTACAGAAATTTAAAAGCCTTCGCCTACTAAAGATTTACTTCATAGCAGTTGCTTTTGGAAAAAATAGAATCTCAAGTATTATCACCCAGCGGGGGAGAGTATATAGCTCAAGAGGTAGAGCTCATGCTGAGCATGCTGGACATCCTGTGTTCAGTCCCCAGTAATTCCTCTGAGGACAAGTAAATAAGTAAACCTAATTATGTCCCCCCAAAACAAACGATCAGGTGTTGTCACCTGTGTGCCCCTCATAACCCTGTGAGCAAGGCTCTGCTCCCATTTTGCTCATGTTTCTGTGGTTCTGCACCGGTGCCAGCAGGGGGCAGTAGCGCGCAGCACGAGGCTTCAGCGTCTCTGTTTCTAGGACTGTAAGTGTGCTGCAGTCCTTTATCAGGAATTCTTGGGGGTTTGGAGTTCAGATTTTTCTTTTTCAAAAATATATGTGCTTGTAGGTTACACAGGCCCCTCAGTGGGGCCTGGGCAGCACCCCAGCAATACTTCCGCCGCAGTAGGTCAGACAGAGTAGCAGGGATGAACCATGTGTGGCTGTAGAAAGCTTTACGTGGTTTAGGGCGGTTTTTGTCACAAGCATGAAGAGTAAAGTTTTCAGACTAGTTTCAGAGAGGAAAGTGGGGTCGGGTGTCAGAGCAGACGAGGGCTGTGGGCTGGTCCTGCTCTGAAGGGAGCCCGCTCTTCAGTCGCTGTCACCGCCCCGGGCCTCTGCTGTGCCAGCCAGTCTCCCACCCTGGAAAGGCAGAGGTGGGTGCCAACCACTCTTATGATGCAAAGATAGATGTAGATTGAGAGCCAGCGGGGACTGTCCGCCACATTGAAGGTTGTCCAAGGTGACCCGCCGGTCACGTGCTGTGGACCAGCAGGTGAGCTCTGGGTGATGGGGAGCAGGCCTCCTCCACTATATCGCAAGCTCCTAGAGAAGTTGCTGGCACCTACCAGGTGTTAAATGTTTGTGGAGTGAATTAATGATTATAAGTACATTCAGATCGAAGAACCTTGAAAAAGATTGGAAAACATGGCCTGGGGTCCTTAGAATAACGCCCACTGTGTGCTGTGCCTGGGGTCCGACCTCCCCTGCGTCCCTCCTGGTCATCAGTGCCAAGGGGATGGGGACGTCTCGATGGTTTTGTAGTCGTGCTTGAAATAGACACACTTAAAAGTCACTTGTGAGGCCTGTTAAAATGCAGGTGTCTGACCTGTCCCCTGGAGATTGATCTGGTAGATTTATTAGAGTGAGTCCCAGAGACCTGCCTTTTTAAGGCCTGGGTTAAGCCCCCCAAGACCTGCAGTTAAGAAGTCTGCCTGCAAACATTTTTTAATGAAGTAGAATTGAATGGAATAGAACATAATAGGGGCATTTTTTTCTCATGAAAATTGTTTTATGCTCATATTGAAACATAGCATGCTTTTCAGTCAGCATGAAAGTTTCTCCAGGAAACTCACCAAGCGAAGCAAACCCTGCGTCTTTGGGAGGATTTGCTGTTCATCGGAGCCTCCTGTTTTGTCTTCAGATGCCACTTTCCTACCTCTGTCTGCATCGAACCCCAGGGACTTGTGAACACAGGCTTTCCATTTTGCCATTAAGTAGGTGGCTGCAGGGGTTGTTGGAGGTGGACCTGTTTCTCTGCCTGTTACTGAGGCTTGAGGCTTTTTTCCTTCAAGAAGGCGAACAGTTGTTGGGGTACTTTGGGCGACAGCCCGTGAGGTATCACTGAGTCTGCAGTGTAGATGAGTCAGTGGTGCAGCTCGAACTGAGCTGAGGTCAGGCGGGAGGGCGACCTCCTGGCCCCAGCCCTCCGGGAGCTGCGGCTCTGGTGGGACACGTGTTCGGTGAGCATGGGCCGGGGCGGAGTGGGCAAGGGGCAGCATGGTTCTGGGAGGTGGAGAGCAGGTGGCCGAGGGGCTGGGCCGGGCAGGGCTGTGGACAGGCACCCCGGTGCAGGGGCTCTGACTTCCCGCCCCCCCGCCCCCCCCCCGTCGTCTCCAAGACCGAGCTCGTGCTCTTCCTCCGTCCTCGCCTTTGACACGCCCCCGTACGTACTTGGGGGTTGGCGGACTTT